TTCTCAGACACTTCTCCCGAGATGTCCTTAGCAAAGGGTAGAACCTTGAAGACGTTTAATTCCCACTGTAAGCAGTTCTCGGTACTTTCCCACTCCTAGCCTGACCTCCATCTTGTTCTCCTTTGTGCTCAGTCTATAAAATGGCGGGATGCTTTGGTTCAGTGTTCTCTCAGCATTGAGATGATCCCCCCCCCCCCCAATCAGGGTTGATTTGCTCTCATGGTGCTGTACCCTGGAGGAAATTCAGCAGCGGGGGAGTTGGCACTTTATCCCAAATTGCCCTTTGCTAATACGAAATGGTTAATAAACAGTTAAAAGTTTTGGGTTTTTTTTGTTGTTGTTGTTTTTTGTTTTTAAAAAAGGTACATTCTTCATAAGACCTGGAATGATCTAAGCAAATTGGAAAAACTGACCCACAGAGGAGAGAAGACAAGTTAGGCGGACCCCTCAGTGCCCTGGTTACTGAGATCAGCAGCTATGCTCTGCACAGCAGTGAAAGGTTCGGGGAAGAATTCACAGGAAAACTCAAATGCACAGTGAAGAAATAATGCCTTAAGAGACAATAGAACCTCTGGGGGCGAAAATCAGTCAGGTTGGTGGGAGGGAGGGGGTGTGGGGGGCTGGGAGGGGGAGGATGGAGCAGGAGAGAGACTCTGTGAGGAAGAGTGCCTGTTGTTACAGAGGACTGGAGTTCAGTTCCTGGCACCTTATCAAGTGACTCACAACTGCCTGTAACCCAGCTGTAAGCTGACAGCTCTGGCCTCCGAGGGCACCTGCGCTCACTTCCACACAGACACACATATACATAAATTATAAAAAAATAACTAGCCAAGCGGTGGTGGCACACACCTTTAATCTTAGTTCTCAGGAGGTAGAGGCAGGCAGATCTCTTGAGTTCAAGGACAGCCTGGTCTACAAAGTGAGTTCCAGGACAGCCAGAGCTACATAGAGAAACCCTGTCCCAAATAGACACACAGGTAGATGAAAAAGCTTAAAAATGAATAAATTAATCATGGATACACATGTGACTCTCCTACTTCAGCCAACTGTTTATTTTATTATTTTATTTTTGGTTTTTCGAGACAGAGTTTCTCTGTATAGCCCTGGCTGTCCTGGAACTCACTCTGTAGACCAGGCTGGCCTTGAACTCAGAAATCCTTGTTTTTATTTTAAAAAATTATTCTTTGTATTGTAAGAGAGAAAGGGAGAGGGAGGGAGGGAAAGGGAGGGAGAGAGAACACAGACAGACTTGGGGGTCATGAGGGTTATGAGGCCTGGCGGCAGGCACCCTGACCCGCTGCATGCTCTCCTTGGCTGGCCCTCTGTGTTCATGCTGCGTGCACTAGGATCTGTCTGTAAGCGTCCGTTTTGTTCATTAAGCCCTGAGTCAGGAATCGGTGTGAGCCGTAGATTGGCCGTTGGAAATATTACCATGTCTATTTGTGGAAATGAAATTGCATTCGGTTTGAAGATGTGTGTGGGGAACAGGATGTGAATACCCAGGGCGATGTACTTTTCCTTCAGTGACATGAAGCTGAGATAGTGTGAGAGCAGGCGTGTGCATTCTGGCCCACTTGGTTTCCATCATACAAAGGTCTTGTTCACTTTGTGTGAGTCTAGAATTTTCTAAACAGCATGCTCACTAAAAGAAAACTTCTTCACCCAGTGGCCAGTGGAGTCTCAAGGAAGACATCTTTGTGTCAGACTTTCCTAGGAAATTCGTGTGTGACCTTAGGCTCTTGGGCCAGCCACTCTGCCTAAGTTTAGGTCCAGCTCCACCCTTTACACAGACACATATAGACACACATAGACACACACACACACACACACACACACACACACACACACGGCTTGCTCGCATAACCCTGTCTCTGAAATGGACATAGTAGTCTGCGGGACTGCGTAAGGGTATCTTGATTCTTGGCTAGGCATGGGCCTGGAACCCTGAGACTCCAAGGGAGAAATGGCAGGTGTTTGGCTACATCCCCAGAACCCAGAGTCCTGACACACAGTCTAGTCTCCACAGACCTACATTGTTCAGTCACGTAGGCCATTACAGCCCCTCCCAAAATGCACAGGTAGAGGGTGTGACTACAGGCCTCAGGCCCTAGAGAGATTTACATACTAATGAAGGCCAGAGGGCAGAGCCAATTAAGTATCTTCTCCAGACCCTCCCCCTTTCTCCCTCCCTATTTAACTCAGGTCTGCCCTGAGTTTGGGGGGTGGGGGGGGTACATCCAGATCCATCTACCATCCACCATGAAAATAAACCCCTTTGGAACCTTGGACTTTCTCGTGTCTGTGGGACCTGCCGTGGCTATTTACCCACAGTAGTCCTCTCCTAGTGTGGCTGTGAGTAAGGAGTAGACTGTGGGTGGCACACGGTGCACAGTCAGTGGCTGTCCTTATAATCAGACTTGTCGCTGTTTCTGAGACAGTAGATTGATTCTCTGTGTGGTATGTCCTTGAGGATGTTCCAGGCGACTCTAGGTGACTCCCTTTTTACCTTATCATACACTTTTGGATTGGAACTCAGCGTGAAATGTGTGCACAGGGAGTGTGGGGCCACTTATGAGCTAGCAGCATGGCTATTGGGGCAGGAGGTGAGCAAGATAAATTTCCCACGGAGGTCACATAGGTGTGCAGAGACCCTGTCGTAAGCATATGCATTTACTGCCCTGCTGTGGAATACTGTGGGCCTACAGTTGAGAATGAAAGACATAGGCGGCCTTCTGTGACAACCTCTTCCCAACCCCTCAAAAGAAACAGTCTGAACAGGAAGCCATTGAAGAGAACTCTTCAAAAATTGTGGCAGGGCTCTTCTGGGGACAGTGCTTAGAGGCACTCAGGATGCTCTAGCATTTGACATACCATTGTAGGCTCTCCTACAATACAGCCTCTAACAAAACTAGGCTGTCTCAAACCTCTGGCAACAGTATTGTTTACCTTTACACCAAGAAGGTTGGGAAAGTGCCTAAATCCGCATTCGTCCTGTGCCCAGGCAGACTGCGAGGGGTTCATGCTGTGAGACCCAAAGTCCTCATGAGACTGTCTAAGACAGAGCAGCACGTCACAGGGCCTATGGTGATTCCGTGTGTGCCAAGTGTGTCCGAGACAGGATCAAGCGGGCTCTCCTTATTGAGGAGCAGGAAATCGTTGTGAAAGTGTTGAAGGCACAAGCACAGAGTCAGAAAGCAAAATAAATATGCAGCTTTTTAAAATAATAAAATATCTGCAATGGAGTGCCGAAGTGTAGCTTTGCACTGGTTGATGGCTTCTGGCAGGGGTGGGGAAGGACTCAATTCTCCTAAGGGGCTGGCCACTGGGAATTGGACCATGTTCCCATGAGTATATGGGCAACACAAATTTGACTTTGTGGGGTTGTTGTTGTTGTTGTTGTTCTTCTTCTTCTGTTTCTGCCTCTGCTTCTGCCTCTGCCTCCTCCTCTTCTTCTCCTTCTTCTCCTTCTTCTCCTTCTTCTCCTTCTTCTCCTTCTTCTCCTTCTTCTCCTTCTTCTCCTTCTTCTCCTTCTTCTCCTTCTTCTCCTTCTTTTCCTTCTTCTCCTTCTTCTCCTTCTTCTCCTTCTTCTCCTTCTTCTCCTTCTTCTTCTTCTTCTTCTCCTTCTTCTCCTTCTCCTCCTTCTCCTCCTCCTCCTCCTCCTCCTCCTCCTCCTCCTCCTCCTCCTCCTCGGACGAGGTCACAAGGGGTCAGGGCTGGGAGGGCTGGGAAGTGATCAGAGTCCATTTTGTGAAATTCTCAAATAATCAATAAAGATATTATATTGGGGAAAAATATTGACTCGGTATGTCCGCACACATGTCAGCCACTGGCATTCACACAGTTAGATTGGCTGTTAAGGCCCATGCAGCCTTAGACGTCTATATGTTCACAGCGCGTTGGCAAGTGATGCCCATCATCTCTTGGCCTGTGGCTCTGTGTAGGTCCACCACGGTAGTGTGCAGCACTGTGGCATTCTAGGGCTCTGTCATCTATCGCTGAGCCACAGAAGTTAATCTCCATGACAGCTGTTACTTTGAAGAATTTGGGGAACTTTATTAGAGTGTGTTTGCGTCTTGGCTCTCGCCTTCCTCACACATCTTCTCCTTTTTACCCACACAGCATTGCACCTGCTCTCGCACGTTCAGTCCCCTACACTGTCTGTCCCTGCACTGCGGTGCACACACAGCGTGCCCACGCCCAAGGCCACCTTCCTCTAAAGCTCTTACAGAACCACCAGGACTCAGTGGGTTCCTCTGCCCTCTTCCCAGTCTTCCTCTTGTCCTCTGGCTCCTTTTGCCTGGGAAAACCCACGTAGAGTGAGGACTCCTTGCCAGGTGAACTGATGCATCTAACCAAATGGATTTTCTCATTATACCTTTGGGACCATGGTATTTGAGGCTCCACTCTCTGAACCTGTTGGGGAATCCACAGCAGGAGTTGGTGCTGTGTACTTGGGACGTTGGCAGGACCGGGAGATAGTTAGCCCAGCCTCAGCACCGGGGAAACTAGAGTGCCAGCTGTCAAGGAGCTTGAAGAAGGGTCTATTTTTCCACATCTGGTTTTCAAAGCAGGAGAAATGGAAGTTTGGTGACTTCTGTTTTGAGAAAATGTGTGTGACATGACTAAATCAGAATAGGCAAATGCAGACTCTGAGACTTTTACAGCAGCGACAAGAACTCAGTGTGTACCATGTGCTGTCAGCCCAGGCTCTCAGGAAGTCTGTATCCAGGAGATGCTTTAGATTTTGTTTTCAAGTTCTAATTTAAAATATTGACACTGCCGGGCAGTGGTGGTGCACACCTTTAATCCCAGCACTTGGGAGGCAGAGGCAGGCGGATTTCTGAGTTCGAGGCCAGCCTGGTCTACAGAGTGAGTTCCAGGACAGCCAGGGCTACACAGAGAAACCCTGTCTCAAAAAACAAAAAAAAATAAAATAAAAAATAAAAGATAAAATATTGACACCATCTCATCTTCTCCCCCCCCCTTCTCTCTCTCTCTAGAATATTCTCCTTCTTGGATATCGTAACTCTATGCCGATGTGCACAGATTTCCAAGGTAGAGTATTGCCTGGCTTTTATTCAGTATCAAAGAGAGGGATGGATTTGATTTAAACAAAACATTACAGTTAAACCTTGTCTACTAAAATAGCAGTGTTATAATTGTATACTTTATTTTTACTTAATATACACCAAGAATAAAAGTTTGGAAATAAGAGACTTGACATATCAGCTCATCCCTTACACCCAGCCTCCTCTTTGACATCCATCTTCTAGGCCTGGAACATCTTAGCCCTCGACGGCAGCAACTGGCAACGAGTGGATCTTTTTAACTTCCAAACAGATGTAGAGGTAAGTTAATTCAGTTAGTTAGTTTATTTGATGTGTGTGTGTGTGTGCACACACTTGCCAAGGGGTAGGAGTGGAGGTCAGAGGACAGCTTGTGGGAATTGGTTCCCTCCTGCCACCAAGCAGGTTCCAAGGATCAGACCCAGGTCTCAGGCTTGGGAACAGCCACCTTTACCCACTGAGGTATCTCCCTGGTCCCATTGGTGGTAGTGTTTTTTGAGACAAAGTCTCTCTGTATTGTAAGTACCTGCATCAGGTGGGCAGAGGGGCTGCAGAGACAGCTCAGTGGGTGAAGGTGCCAGCTGCTCCTGCACAGGACCTGGGTTGGTTCCCAATACCACATGTTTGGTCAGAACCGTCTGTAACCCCTGTCCTACACAGTCTGATGTCCTCTTTGGCCCTGAGAGTTCCTGTATTCACACTGTACACATAAACTCAGGCAGGCAAACACACATACATGTAATGAGATAAACTAATTTTAAAAACAGACTGAAGAAGCTGAGGAACAAATAGGTTAAGCCTAAGTACTTATACATTTAGGGAACTGGGTTACACACCTGTGGGGTCACAGCAATGGCAGAATAGCAGATTGAAGTGACAGAGCTCAGGGCTTCTCCCCAGTCACTCTTTCTGAGCATGCGTGCTTCCCTGAGGTGAGGCACTTACATGCCTTCCGAGACTGAGCACATGAGACCAGGAGATGGCTCAGTGGGCAAAGGCACTTGCCACCAAGCTTGCCGATGTGAGTTCAGTCCTGGGGCCCCACGTGGTGGAAGGAGAGAGCAGATTCTTGCAAATTGGCCTCTGACCTCCATACATGTACCATGGTATTTCTACATGTACATACATAGAAATGAATAAAAAATGTACAGTTCCTCTTCAGTTTTGATGGTTACTAAAAATGCTGCCCACCACAGCTGAGGAGCTGTTGACATTGATAGTTGCCGGGAAGCAAGGAGTCCCTTTTCTTTAAGATTGTTGTCTCCTGGTAAGCCATCTGTCCCAGTGGATTGGCACACATCCACCAGTGTTTGGACAGCACAAACTGGACTTAACTGGGTGACAAACATGACAGAAACAGCCCACAGGGCTGGGGGGAGAGAAGAGGCAGGTCTGGAAGGGACTGGAGGTAAGGAAGAGGTGAGTCTGGGAGGGACTGGGGGATAAGGAAGAGGTGAGTCTGGGGGAGGGACTATGGATGGATGAATGTAATAAAAACAGATTGTACGAGATTCTCAAAGATCTGACTGAAAAGTCACAGGTCAGAACTGAGGAGTGACCGCACAATATGTTAAAGTTCTAACTCCGGGGCTGTGATGCTCACCTAAGGCCCTTTTCTCCCCAGAGCCTCTCGTTCTAATACTGTGTGCCTATAGTTTGCTATGCCTAGCGGGAAACAAGGGTTATTGAATAAATATTGACTTGGTAAATATCTTGCTATTTTTCTCTCTCTTAGAAACAGTGATCTGTAATTATCGCCACATACATGACTTTTCTTTTTTTTAATTCTGGTATAATAACTTTTGTTTCAGTGAAGGAAGAATAAAGAAATCCTCAAAATGGAGAGACGGGATGCTGTGTGGTTCAGGGTTAGATGCTTAATGAATGCTTACATACTTAGATTGTCAAGTCCTAGTTGTCTTTTCTCATTGGTAACAAAGATTTATTTTGCAGTTGTCTTGGATTTTGATTAAAAACAACGAGGTCAAGGTAGAGAAGTGGCTCAGGGGTTTGTGTGTTCAGTTCCCTGCACACAGGCTGGATGGCTTGCAAGCACCTGTAAACTTGGGTTCCAGCACTCTCTTCTGGCCTTTGAGAGTGCTCACACACATACACATAAATTAAAATATATATCTTTAAAACTAGCTCAGGTAATCCTCAAGAAAGCATGATAGACACACTGGGGTCAAGGTTCCGAGTGCAGTCCAGCTCAAATGTTAGCCATGTAATAGTGTGTGTCAGCCCCACTTAGGTACTGTGGCTGTGTCCTAGACAATTCAGTGTTTACAGGTCTCTGCCCAGATGGCAGTGCATAACTGCATGCCACACATGTGCTTAATACATGCACATTAAAAAAATTGACTTCTCTTTCAGCAACATTATTTTATCCTCCCGGTGGTTTTCACAGCTACGTCCAGTCAGATGGCTGTGAGTGTGGGAGGGTGTGTCTAAACCCTTTGAAAGGCAACTAGGCTCTCAGCCCTCATGGTGCCTCTGGTAAGGATGGACTCCGGCTGCGTTTGGAGAAGTAGACTGACAGTTCAGCACGTGCTGCGCTCACAGTTCAGCGTACAATGTTAAGAAATAAGCAGCATGCAAAAGTGACTGTTTGCCATCTTTCTCCGTTTAAGGGCCGAGTGGTGGAAAACATCTCCAAGAGGTGCGGTGGCTTCCTTAGAAAGCTCAGCCTGCGTGGCTGCATCGGCGTCGGGGACTCCTCCTTGAAGTGAGTGACAGCCACAGTGACCACTTGGTCACAGCAGCTGACGGTTGACATCAGAAAAAGCAAGGCAAACTTGGTCTAGACTTTTCTTCAGTCCTTCCTGTGGTAATTTGTATAATGAGAGTCGTGCCTCTGTTCTGGGGACAAATGGCTTCACCTGCCTAATGTGAGCTCTCTCTCCTGGATGCCAGTGGGGCAGTTACAGAGTGGAGTGCCAGGGGTGTGTATCACATCAGAGTTGACACTTGTATTTGCTCAGTCTCCTCTGTCCCCTACCCCCTTCCCTGTCATCTTTCTAGTCTCTTAGAAGACTTTACTCACACACAAAGCAATTCTTTAAAAAATGCCAGCCGGGCTGTGGTGGTGCACGCCTTTAATCCCAGCACTTGGGAGGCAGAAGCAGGCAGATTACTGAGTTCAAGGCCAGCCTGGTCTACAGAGTGAGTTCCAGAACAGCCAGGACTACACAGAGAAACCCTGTCTCAAAAAAAACAAACCAAAACAAAAATGTCTTTATGGTTACGATAGAATTTTGCCTACTTGTGATGGGACAGGATTATCACATTATGTTGCTTTTATTATAGCAGGCAATATCGCCTGTGCAGCTAAATGCACATCCCCTTCCTCCTAGGTAGCCGTGGTTAGTTGGAATAGCAAAGGGTCTTTATTTGACTCACGGGTTACAGTACATCGTTGAGAGCAGCCAAGGCAATAGCTCGAGCAGAGGCCATGGAGGAACCCTGCTTACCGGCTTGCTCAGCTTCCTGTCTTACGTAGCCCAGGCCCACCTGCTTAGGGGTTGTGTCACCCATAGTGGGCTAGGCCCTTCCACGTTGATAGACAGTTAAGATAATGTCCCAGTGCTGACCCCAGGTCAGTCTGGTTGAAACAGTTCTCCAGCTGAGGTCAGAGTGTGTACGTGGTTGGAGTCACCTCTTCCCAGGTGACTCTAGATTTATATAAAGTTGACAGATGAAGCTAACTATGACATCGGGCTTGGTGGAAAGCATTTTTACCCACTGAGCCATCTCTCCAGCCCATAAAAGATTAAAAAAAAAAATACAGAGTCTTTCTATCATGTAGCTCTGGCTGTCCTGGAACTTGCCATGGCTGGCCTTGAACTCACAGAGCCACACCACAGTCAGCCTCCATGAGGATTTTTAAAGCAGGAATACAGTGGAAAGGAAGGCAGATGCAGGCCATGCCGCACGACTGTGGTCAGCACCCAGGACTCACCAGCTTGGAGAATGCCGTAACGTAACCATCAGTCTATACAGTGTAGATGTACTGATAAACTAAAGACTGGCCCAGGCCATCAGGCCCGTTTTTCTGCCTACAGAGCTTTGTACATCAGTGAAATGGACTGAGTCTAGCTTGGCTGGAAGCAGGGTTTTTACTCATGGGCCTGATGTAGCTTCCAGTGCAAGACATAGATCTGACAGTTGTCTCACTGAAGACACCAAAATGAATGTGAAAATGTGGCTTGCTAGTGGGGACTATCAAAGGCCACTTATTTGTTTGCTTGTTTGTTTGTCTTAGGATTTCACAATGTACCCTTGGCTGGCCTAGAACTTGTTCTATAGGTCAGGCTGGCCTTGAGGTCACAGAACTCCTCCTGTCTCTGCCTCCTGAGGGCTGGGGTTAAAGGCTTGTACCACCACTGCCTGATGAGACCTTTCACCGTGGCACGGAAACCCTGATTTATGAGGAAAGCACTGTTCAGAGACCAAGAACTGGTTTGTTCTGAACTTGAGACCAAAAATCTGTATTGATTACAAAGATATCTGTGCATCAGAGGGAGACTTCCTGTGTGCACGGCTCCTGCCACTCAGCGCAGTTGCACTGGAATTACCTTGCTGTGAATACCAACAGTTTGTTCCTGTTTACTGCTGAGCAGCAATCCATCCTGCAGTGTACAGATGCTGTACAGATGCTGGGCTTATATCCTATAAGAGCACTTGTTGCCCTTGAAGAGTTTCCAGCACCAGAGTCAGGTGGCTCAGAACCTACTGTAACTGCAGCTCCAGGGGATCTAGCGCCTCCTGCTGGCCTCCATGGGCACCTGCACTCATGTGCACACATACGTATGGGTAGATAAAAGTCACCTCTTACAACTGTCTTTAATACACCAGCCTCGCTGAACTTCAAAGCTTAGCCTAGAACACTGCCATTTAACCACAGAGCTGAGCAAAACCGTCCAGCACGAAGCCTGTCTCATAGTGTCATTGTGAGTGTCTTGTATGCTTTATTGACCATCTGCATCTAAACATAACATGGTCTCTCTGGGGTTTCAGTGTTCAGTCTTGCTGTCATGTGGTCAGCCAGGAGCTGTGTCCCCATATACGTATGGAGAGTATCTGACTGCAGGTGTTTGTGCTTCAGAGTCTGACCACAGGTGCTAGGGAGCTGTGGTCACGGAGACAAGCTTAATGCCCAACAAACTTGAGGGGAAGCTTACTTCAGCTCCTGGTTTCAGAAGGGTTAGTCTGCTCTGTCTACCCCTGTGCATATTGAGAATATGTGGCGCGACAATTGTCGATGAGCAGGAAGCAGAGAGCTAGACAGGAAAGAGCTCCACAAACCCACTCCCTGCGACCTGCTCCCTCCATCTGGGTCCCTCTCCTCAAGATCCCATAGTGTCTAAGGGACGCAGTGCTCCACACAGCAGCCTGTCAGAGCAGGGCAGATTCAGACTGTTGTACTCCACCATACAAAGGCAGGGAAGCCAAAATTCAAAATGTGGTTTGTACTAACTGCTTTTCTTTGTCAGATAATCACTAAAGTCCAAGTCCAACCGCTTGTCAGCCAGGGATCTGCTGCAGTGGGGGTCCCGTGCAGCCTCTGTCAGCCAGGGATCTGCTGCTTGTGTTCACTCAATGTTTATGGACAGCAGGGAGCTTTCTTGTTTGCACCATTGCAGGTAAAGCTTTTGGGAATGTCCATTTCTCCTGGAGTGGAGTAGTTGAGTCATGTAAGTATGTGCTTACGGATGTTTGCTTGCTTGCACAAGACAAGGTCTCTGTGTAGCTGAACATTGCCTTCAGCTTATCCTTCTCAGCCTCTCAAGTGCTGGGATTACAGACGTACACCATGCCCAGTTTGGACTTTTTGTTTTGTCGTGCTGGGGATCAAACCCAGGACCTTACATATGTTAGGCAAACATTCCAGCATTGCACACACAACACACACACACACACACACACCAGCATGCATGTGCGTGAGGTCTGAAGACAACCTTGAGTAGTGGTCTTTTGAGCCATTAAACCTTGTTTTTTGAGACAGGATCTTCACTGACCTAGATCTCACCAAGTCTGCTAGGTTCTCTGGCCAATGAGTCCTTGAAATCTACCTTTCTTTACCTCCCTGGTACTGGAATCACAAACCTGTGTGTGCCACAATGTTTGGTTGGTTGTTTTTTTTTTTTTTTTTTTTAAACATGGGGACTGGGGATCAAACTCAGGGCCACCTGCTGGTAGGACAAGCACTTTACAGGCAGAGTTAACTCACCAGCAGCTGCTGTGACACAGACACACACTCCTCTCTCTTCCTCTCTTCAGCAGTGTTTGTGTGTGTGCTTGCCACATGCCACGGATTGTGTTGGAGGTCAGCAGACAAACCATTGGGAGTTGGTTCTCTCTCTCCTGCCCCATGGCTTCCGAGCATCAGGCTCAGGGCATCAGGCTTGGTGGCGACCATTACTGCCTGGGGAACAGCTCAGCGTCTCCCCAGCCCCAGTTTAACTCTGATGAAGCCTCCAGTCTAGTTTGCAAACAGAATGTAGTGTTTTGAGTCCCCATGTGGTCTGTGACTCTACAGTTCTCACATTCCTGCCCAGCCCTACTGTGACGGGTGTGTCCTCCTCACTTTGGCCCTAATGGTGCTTGGTGGCACCTGTGGCTCTTCTCTATCTCCCCGGTGCTGCCCAGTGTGTTCCTAGGCTTTGAATCCATGGACCGTTTGGGGACATGTCTCTCTAAGCCTTGTGTCTATTTTTTCAGCGGTTATTTTTTGTTGATTTTTGAAAATTCTTAATACATTTTAAATACCAGTGCTTTGCACAGTACCTTTGCAAAGGTGCTCTCCCAGGCTCCTAACTGGCATGGCTGAAAGGAAGTTTCTTTGCAGAATCATTTAATTTAAATTTTAAATTGTTGTGTTTGTGTGGGGCCCTGCATGCATTTATGTGCTGTGTGTGTGTGTGTGTGTGTGTGTGTGTGTGTGTGTGCAGTACTTGTAGAGGCCAGAAGAGGGCAATGGATTCCTCTAGAACTGGAGTCTTGGAGAGTTGAGAGCCACCATGTGGGTGCTGGGAACTGAACTTGGATCCTCTGGAAGAACAGTAAGTGCTACCAGCTGCCCAGCCGTCTCTCCAGCCCTGAAGGGAAGTTTTTAATGAAAGGAATTGCACTGAGTTCTTCCTTATGGGACAGAAACACTTACTGCGTTCCTGGGGTCATACACACCCTATCCTGTGTCTGTCTTGAGAAAGTTTATAGACTTCTCTGTCTTTATTTTATGTGTATGTGTGAATGCCTTCATGAATGTGCACCATGTGTGCCTGGTGCCCACTGAGGCTAGAGAGGGCATCAGATCTCCTGGAACTGGAGTTATAAGTTGCCCTGTGGGTGCCGAGAGAGCAAGCAGTGTTCTTGACTACTGAGACCCTCTACAGATCACACCTTAGAAGTTTTGTAATTTTAACTCAGATCTATTTTGACTTTAAAACAATTTTTCCTATACTTTGGTGTTTTGCCTGCATGTATGTCTGAGTGAGAGTGTCACATTCTCTAGAACTGGAGACGGTTGTGAGCCACCATGTGGTTGCTGGGAACTGAACTCAGGACCTCTTGAAGAGCAGCCGGTGCTCTTAACCACTGAACCGTCTCTCCAGGCCCTGTTTTGAATATTTGGGGGGCAGTTGTTGGTGACTGAACCCAGGGTCTCACTCATGCTGGACTTTCCCACTGAGCTGTGCCCTTGCTCTGCACTGGTCTTTATCTGTGGAATAGGGGACACATTCGGGTTTGGGGTTCACCTACAGACATCCAGTTATTATTGCACAGTCTGTGTCTTATAGTCAGTCACCCACGCTTTAGCAGCTAGTGCGATCATGTCTGGGAATCAGTCGGTTTCCAACCCTGTTTACAGGGCCACCGTGTCAACTTCTTCAAGTGTTCAGCTCCTCCCAGCTTGCACTGGGCAGTGCAAAAGTCGCATACATATTTTGTCATACTCAGTTCCAGATATTTTTCAAAAATATTTATTTTAAATTATGCGTACCTGTTTATCTGTTGGGATGGGGTGGGGTATGTATATTTGAGGGCAATGCCCAAGGAGTCCAGAAGAGGGCATCTGATCCCCTGGAGTTGGTGGTGATGTGAGGCCCCTGCTATGGGTGCTGGGAGCTGAACCTGAGTCCTCTACAAGAGCAGTGTGTGGTCTTAACCACTGAGCTACCGCTCCAGCCCCTGCCTGTCAATACTCTGAGGTGCTGTTGCAAGTTGTATGCTTCACTCCAGTCCTCTTCACCATTCATTTATAGAAACGGATTCAGTTTGATACATTGGTTTCCCCCCTGCAGTGCTGGGATGGAACCACATACATATCATATATGTGGTTTATGACTCAGCTGTATCACAGACTAGCTCGTGGGCGTGTGTGTGTGTGCGCGCGTGCATGCGTGCGTGTGTGTTTGTGTGCATGTGTGTGTACTCATACACGTTACTGCAAATCATCCCCAGAGCCGTGTACACACCCCACACCCTGTGCCGCTGAGCACACCCCTACCCTCTGCTCTCCTCTTTATTTTGGACTGTCCCCGATGACCCTTCAGACACACCGATCCTCCTGCCGTAACTAATCTGTGGTTAATCCATCCAGTACATTTTCAGTTCAGTCACTGGGTTTTCATATCTAAAACTTCACATGTCTTCTTCTCAAATGAATAACAACCTTCTTGTGTCTCTATAAAACGCCCTCACTCTGTCCTGTAGCTGCACAGCGTTCTGTGTGACTCAACGACAACCTCATTACCCTTGCCCCTGTCCTTGCTGCGTCTGGTTGGAGTAGACTTTGATTAGACAGTTGTGTCCGTTACACACTTAGTTTCCTGTTTTGTTCGGTGTGAGCAGACATCATGAGCTCCACATTCTTAGGTGTGGAACACCCTTTATTCCTATAAATGCTGTTTTGAGTTTAATTCTTCATTGGTTTGAACGGTTCTTTTTGAGATCATATCCTTTGTTAGGCTTGGGGCAGGTAGGGTGTAGCTCGAGGGAGACAGGCTGCTCTTGTAAGCATGTGTAAGCCCAGGATTCCCAGCAACACAAAATTCAGCCATTTGGACTGCTTTTTAATTAAAGACTCTCTCTTTTTTTTTTTTTTTTATGTGTCTAAGTGTTTGTCTGCACATATGTATGTCCCACAAGCACACGGTGCCTGCAGAGGCCGTAAGAGGCCTGGGTCCCTGTAACTGGAGTTATAGATGGTTGTGTGCAGCCTTTGGGGACTGGAAAACAAACTTGGGTCCTCTGCAAGAACAGCAAGTGCTCGTAACCAGTGGGCTCATCTCTTCAGCACCCTCCCCCATTAATTAAATAAAAGACTATTAGGTTGGGCAGAGCGGCGTTTTGTTTAGGCTACTTCTGCATTCCTGAATCTAGAGACTTCTCCCTACCCAACCCTAGAAACAGTGACATAGTTTTAAGTTTTTGCAAGTAGAAGTAGACAGTGTGCCCCACCAAAGGACCTTGGTGATCTTCTGGTGTCATGCTTCTAGCTAATTCTTTCCCCAGCTGGTTCATAGGTAGTTGCTCACATGCACGTGCCAGGGTCACGCATGGCAGCCGCTGGCATTCTATTCCACCTGCCCCTGTGGAACTTCATGGACTTCTTGGGTTTCAGCTCCATCTTCCTAGCCCCACCCCAGGGATCCACTTTGGTTTCCCCCTCCCTACCCATCAGCAGGGTAGAATGAGCAGATACATGCAGTCTGTGGCTAGGTTTTAGAGGTGGCAGATATGTCATGGAACAGCCAGAACCTGGGAGACCTGCTGAAGTATACAGGTTGCCTGAGCGTGTCCTGGCAGGGAGTGGTGGTAGTGTGTAGCTTTCTGTCTCTGGCCCTGCTATCACCCACAGCAAGGCAGCTGTTCTTCATAACTTGGGGTTCTTGCCAGTAAATGATGGGTCTTGGTACTAACAAGACTGACAGTGGTCAGAGTGCCCCAGAGCACAGCTCAAGGAAGATCTTAACCTTGCTTCCAGTGGACTTTTTCCAGTAGAGAAATGTCAGGCCTCTCATTTCAGTTGATCCCCGCGGTGGGGCTGAATGAGGGTCAGCTGACAGGTGGCTTGGCCCTTTGTGCCAGGCTAGCAGTAGGCAGTGTCTGGGAGCGTCCCAGGTTACTGAGCCCTTGTCTGCCAAGGAGTCTGTGGCCTTTGCTGATCTGAGTTAGGATTTGGAAAGCACTGTTTGAAGTGGATGATTGTGCTGCCCTCTAGTGGCCGCGCAGCTTGCAGCACCAGAGCGCCCGTAGCCACTGGTTTCTCACCCTGAGTGCATCCCTTGCTTTTTGGCTTTTCTACTACTTTGGGGTAAAACATCGTTTTGTTTTTCCCTTCTCATTTTAGGACCTTTGCTCAGAACTGCCGAAACATTGAGCATTTAAACCTCAATGGCTGCACAAAAATCACTGACAGGTAGGAATAAGGATGGGTCTAGGGAGAGAGTGACCGCAGGGAATGGCTAGAAACAAGGTTGAAAACGTCTTTAGTATGCTTGCCTTTTTTCAGCACGTGTTACAGCCTTAGCAGATTCTGTTCGAAGCTGAAGCACTTGGATCTCACGTCCTGTGTGTCTGTCACCAACAGCTCCTTAAAGGACATCAGGTGAGAATGCTTGGCATTTGGGGGTCAAGACAAAGTGTCAGCTGAAGAGATGGCTCAGTCTGTAAGGCAGTGAGGACCCAAGTTCCAGTATCCAGATCCTTGTCAGCAGCCAGGACCTGTGGCTCCTGCCTGTGACCCCGGTTCTGGGGAGGAGACCTGGGTCTCACTGGCCGGCCAGCCTCGTGGAATTGGGGAGCTCTAGCCAGGGTCAGTGAGAGACCCTGTGTCATAAGGGGGGGGGGCAGAGTGCAGGAAAAGGGACATGAGTCGTGAAAGAGGACACAAAGCTGGGGGCTGGGGAGAGGGCTCAGCAGTTAGGAGCACATACTGTTCTTACAGAGGAACCAAGTTCCCAGCACCCATGTTGGACAGCTAACAGTTGCCTCTAGATCTAGGGGTATGAAGTGCTTCTCTGGCCACTGTGGGCCACTGCATTCAGAGATGTATGTATATGTATAGAGACATATGTATAAACACACACACACACACACACACACACACACACACACAGATTTAGAAGAGATTTTAAAGTCAATCATTTTCTATTTTCTTTTTTTAAAAAAGATTTCTTTTTACGTGCATCAGTGTTTTGCCTGTATGTATGTCCGTGTGAGGGTGGCAGATCCTCTGGAACAGAAGCTACAGACAGATGTGAGTTGCCATGTGGGTGCTGGGAATTGAACTCAGGACCTCCAGAAGAGCAGACAGTGCTCTTAACCATTGAGCCATCTCTCCAGCCCTGTTTTCTATTTTCAATACTGTCATTTTCCTTTTGTAACAGGTAAGTACATAAAATTGTAATAGTGAAAGTGTGAAATCCTAAGCAAAACTCGTGGCTCTGGAATGGCCCTTCTAACTGCACAGACTTGGAATGGCCCTTCACTGAGATGTGCAGAATTTGAGGCTAGGTCAGTGTTTGTTTGATTTGCTACCTTAATCTAACTATGTCATGTTTTTTGTTTATGAGTTAATTACAAATCAACTGATTTTTTAAAAATTAATAACAAAAGATGGCAAGCAATTGAGGACGATACCTCGAAGTCAACGTCTGGCCACACAGACCGTGTACACACACATATGTACACTTACACAGAGAACCCCTAAACCCAACCCTAGTATGGTCAGTGCCTTGGACTGAGGCATTCCCCGTGACTCCGGTGGGTGAAGCGGAAGTGGTTCAGCCAGGCCCTGGGCTAATCTCCTCTTTAGGTTGTTTGTTGTATACTGAGTTCAGCACTGTCTGTAGGAGTTTGTTTGTGGTGTACTGAGTTCAGCACCTTCTGCAGGAGGCTGCACAGGGTGCTGTTGTTCTTTGTTCTCTCAGCGAGGGCTGCCGGAGCCTGGAGTATCTGAACCTCTCCTGGTGTGACCAGATCACAAAGGAAGGCATTGAAGCACTGGTGCGGGGGTGCCGGGGCCTGAAAGCCCTGCTCCTGAGGGGATGTACACAGGTACAGGGGTCACACATCTGCTCAGCCTGTTTTCCTTGCTGTGGGGGTCACTTTGGTGCCTGACCTGTTCTCTTACCTGGATTCTATCCTTCTTTCATTTCCTCCATCCACTCAGTTAGAGGACGAAGCTCTGAGACACATTCCGAACCACTGCCACGAGCTGGTGAGCCTCAACCTGCAGTCCTGCTCAGTAAGTATGAACCACTGCCCGCCGGACCTGTGTGCAGCTGCACCTGTGTGCAGTCCCCGCCACCGCCTGCCGCACCTGTGTGCAGCTGCACCTGTGTGCAGCCACACTGTCCGCCGCACCTGTGTGCAGCCCCCTGCCAGCCACACCTGTGTGCAGCCCCCCTGCCTGCCGCACCTGTGTGCAGCTGCACCTGTGTGCAGCCCCCTGCCTGCCGCACCTGTGTGCAGCCCCCTGTCCGCCGCACCTGCGTGTGGCCGCACCTGCGTGTGGCACCCCCCCTGCCCGCCGCACCTGCGTGCAGCCACACTGTCCGCTGAACCTGCGCGCGGCCTCACTGTCAGGCTGCACATGCCCAAAGTGGCTGGCATCTGGCCACATCGCCTTGCCCTGACTCCTCTCCTCATTGGAGCTGTGACTCTGTAAGGTGAGAGAACAACAGTAAAGCAGCATGTTCAGCACAGGCTATTGGCACCTCCCCGGAATTATATAAATCAGCTTTATTAATTTCTATTCCTGTATTCATATATATGTGTGTGTGTTCATATATATCATATATATCATACATATATATGAGAGACAGATGGACAAAGTATCACTGCATAGCCCAGGCTAGCCTGAAATGCACAGTTATCCTGCCTCTGAAGGCATACTGAAAGCTGGGATTACTGGTGTGGGCCAATATGTCTGGCTGGCTCTTAAAAATAAAATCAGGAATGGTGTTCCTAATCAGTACCCGGCTGTTAGATCTTAATGTCATTTCTTTTTAACACATTGGAGCTGATGGCCCCTCTGATTCCTTGGTGAGAATAATAGCCCTGGGCTGGGAAGATAGCCCAGTCAGTTACGTGCTGGCCTTGTAAACACAAGGACTTGAGCTTGATTCAGGAGCCCATGTCAAAACTGAGGACAGGGAAGCAGACACAGGATCCCCCAGCTCACTGGCCAGCCAGCTTACCTGGTGAGTTCTGAGCTGGCAGCAGAATGTGTTCCCAAGGAAGATGGCCAGCACCTGAAGAATGACACTTGAGGATATACACACATGCACACACACTTATACACACAGATACACATACACATTCACACATGCACACACATACACATGCAGACACATTCACACTCATACACATGCAGACATACACATGCACACACATGCAGACACACACATGCACACACATACACATGGAGGCACACACATGCACACACATACACATGCAGACACATGCACACACACTTATACACACTCATACACACGTGCACACTCACACATTCACACATGCATACACATATACATGCAGACACACACATGCACACTCATACACATGGAGACACACGTTCACATTCACACATGCACACACATACACATGCAGACACACACATGCACACTCATACACATGCACACACACATGCACACTCATACACATGCAGACACACATGTACACTCATACACATGCAGAAACACACATGCACATACATACACACACATGCAGACACACATGTGCACACACATACACATGCAGATACACACATGCTCATTCACACATGCACACAAGCAGCAGTCCTATAAACAGGGGTCATGTGCAAGAGGAAGCTAGCACTGTTCTCTAGGCATTAGCCTTCCTCACTGCTGCTCTGCGCATGTGCAGTTTCATGGGCTGTGTGACCCATGGGAAACCTCGAGGTTTGGGAAACCCAAGAGAAAGACATTGCATTCAGCTTTAACAAATGAATCCGGTCTTCAGAGTGTGTGACGGTGGGAGGGAGGGAAAGCAGTGTCTTCTGAGCTGGCTTCACAGATCTGCCTGGACTATCCAAAGGACAGACTGTGCTACATGGGACAGCACTGGCCCACGGTTAACCGAGCAGGAACATGCTCCTGTCTGCATGAACTAGTATGTTTGAAGCAAAGATTATTCTGGACCTTCACAGCCCGATCAAATTGAACTCCAAGGAATTTATCAGTATCTAGTTTTCCTTTTCTCTAAGTCATTTGGTGAAATGTTATAAATATGCATGTAAACACAATATGATTTCGATGATGAATACACAAGGCACAACGTCTACACATCCAGCTGCATACTGTGTCATTTACCTAGGCATTTAATGTGTCAGGAGTAACAATGATTTTCACGAGTTTATGAACTGCTTCTGATGACTCTCCAAGTGGAATCTTGGCTTTCAGTGTCCATTGCTAATACTAGAATATTTTCTAGCTGTGCAGAATTTCTGTCTACTCTTGTTTAGTCATGCTGGGATTGAACTCAGAGAGCGCCTCATGCAATTCCAGGCAAGCACCTACCAACTTAGTGACTGCCCAGACATGGTCTCACTACGTATTTTATATATATATATATATATATATATATATATATATATATATATATATTTCCCACCTGCTGGGATCAAAGGTGTACTCTTAGCTAGTTTTGTTTTGAGGTAGGGTTTCACTTATGAAGTCTAGGATGAGCTAGTACTTGAAATCCTCCTGCCTCAGCCTTCAAAGTGCCAGGACTACAGGTAAGCGCTGCCACGTGCAGCCTGCTTGTGTTTGGTTAGGTATCAGGGTGAAGTGCTTGTTGGCACAGCAGTAAACAAGGTAGACGGCACCGGCCCCTGATCCCTGTGCTCTTCTCCCCAGCGCATCACTGATGATGGCGTGGTGCAGATCTGCAGGGGCTGCCACCGGCTACAGGCTCTATGCCTCTCGGGCTGTAGCAACCTCACGGATGCATCTCTCACAGCCTTGGGCCTGAACTGCCCCAGACTACAGTGCGTATGACCCCTTTTTGCTTTTTGGCTCCGAGAGGACTGGGCTGCCACAGGGGAGAGGTTTGCCAGCTCTCAGGGTGGTAGAGCCAGGAAGTGTTAGCTGGGCTGCAGTATGACAGCGCCTATGCCTGTCAGGGGCCGATGGGTGTGCAGCACAGCTGACTCTCATGTAGTTTCTTGGTCTCTTTCATGTGTTTCTTCACATTTTATCTCATGTTGTTACACTTTGGCTTTGGCCATCAGACTGATCTGGTGGTGTGTGGACTGGTTGAATGTCTTTGCTAACCCTGTCACTAGATGGGTAAAGGGAAGTCTCAGCTGCTTGCCTGTCATCCTCCTGAATATAGGAAGAAAAGTTGGTCCTCAGGGTAGAGTACTACTGTCCACTGCCCCAAACACCAGCTCTGCACACACAGGAGCAGGATGTAATGAAGCCAACTCTCAGTAGGCCTGTGCCACCCTGATTTAACTAAACACATTTGCATGAGTAGTCACTCCAGGAGAAACCGAGGCCCAAAGGCAAGTCAGTTTATCCTGCGTCTCATGGTGGATAATGAGGAAAGCAGTGATCTGTAGACTCTACTTCAGAACCAATAGTCTTAACCCAAACTATACAAAGAGGCAGTAGAGAACATTTTATCTGTTTTTACATTGAAACCGTTTCAATTCTAATGAGGATTAACTCATGTTTTTCATTGCCTACACTTTCCTAGAGGGTAACTAGAGCAGAGTTCTTGTCAGCATGTCTGGGGCAAGTTCAGTCCCAGCACCACAAAATAAATACCGTGGGTCGCGAGATGATTTTGTTTAGCAAGTTCATTTTAATTGTGTTCTAAAACCACTGCGTGAGTGGGCTCCTGGTTCCCTGTGATGAGAGAGACGTTAGGACTCTGCTCCACTCCAGAGGCCCTGCTTGCAAGACCCAGAGTGACACGACTGGGAAGTGGCTCAGTATCCCACAGAGAGAGCAGACTGGAGAAGGTGCACCATGCAGTGTTTCTGTGGCTAACCTGGCGCTGTGTGTTTTCTCCCTCATGCCCACTTCCCAGAGTTCTGGAGGCAGCCCGATGCTCCCATCTGACCGATGCAGGCTTTACACTGCTAGCTCGGGTAAGGCATCAAGTCTGAGACAAAACCATGCTCTAATTCAAAGTGACTCCAGGTAGTTTGGGGAAATCCAAAGAATCCAACACTTAGCTTGAGAAGAGATGGCCATGATGACCTTTGTACTTTTTTCAGCTGGTCAGGACTCTAGGGATACCCTGGCAGGTGTGTCCAACTTCTCGACATGACACTGGCATTTACGAAGTTCATGCTTAACTGTACAATTGAGTTACCAAGAACTGTTGGGCCACATCCATAGCTCTCTGGAGCACACACTGCCTACAAGCTGAATGCCTTCATAGAGTTCAGGCCTCACTGTTCCTCTCAGCCAGCGAGATCCACCTTGAACAAAACCCCTCTCCAGTGAGCTCTCTGTATGAACCCAGGCTGGCCTCTGCTCAGCCTCCCTGCCTAGGGCTGTGCTCTCCCTGTCTTCCGTACTGCCTGTGGTACCATCTGCATCCTCCTGTCCCCACCTCCTACAGAGGAGTCTGACTATGGTGAGGGAAAGTGTGACAACTCCCTCAGTTGAGATGGTGATGCTGGGAGGGTTTCCAGGGTGGAGGTAGCCACGCCCACTGTTCAAACTGACCTTGGCTCACTCTGAGCTGCTGCTTTGGGATAGCAGCAGGAATAGGATCCAGTCCTCAGTGGGATGAGTGAGCCTCAGGGCAACTCTTCATGGGCCCACACAGTAGTGTGTCTTGTGGTCTGTTTCAGAACTGTCATGAGCTGGAGAAGATGGACCTTGAAGAATGTGTCCTGGTGAGTGGACTGCTGGCAGCCCCTTAGGGCTGCTCTGCCACTGCTAGGGGCCTGGCATTGTAGCAAGCATAGGGTACCACTACTACCCAGCATGGTGGTGGGGATCAGGCCCTCATTAGGACATCTGTCATGGGATCTGTAAGTATTTGGCAGTTCCACATGTAAGAGAGTACCACCCACTTCCAAGCAGAAGCGGGATTTCCTTTTATTTTTCACAAAGCTTCTGAGAGAAATGAGCCTGATGTTGGGTGATAGGGTGTCACAGGAGGGTGTTCTGGGGAACCCCCTATCCACAGCGTTTATGTCCTGTCCTTCCCCGAGGCTCCCTCAGGCACCAGAAGCAAGGCCAAACAGCAGTGTGTCTTCCACGGAGTTGACAGTTTGAGCCCCAGTGTCCTTGAATGAGGTTTTCCTTTGCTTTCTGCTCCCTCCGAGCCCCACACTCAGGAGACTCGAGGACTGTGTGTTAGGTCCTGGTGCAGAAGCCACACTGATTGTGTTTCTTTCTAGATTACCGACAGTACTCTGGTCCAGCTCTCTATCCACTGTCCCAAGCTGCAAGCCCTGGTGAGTCTGAGCTACTCGTGAGACTTAAGAATGTCCTCGGAATGAGAAGGACCCTCCCCCACAGCACATGCCATGGGGTCCACTTTGTGTAAAGCCACTATCATTCTTGCTCTCAGACCTTCTTGCTGGGCTAGCCTGGGCTGTGGGGCATCTGAACATTACTTGTATCGAAGGCAGGGAGAGAAGCTGACAAGAACTCACAGCCCCATTGATTCACTTAACCTCTCGTTCACTGACAGGATATGAAAGCTCAGTGTAAAATACCATCACCTGGGGGCAGAGACTGGGGCCCGCCCCGCTGGGTTTGCTGCTCCCACTCACACAGCCCTAGGGGAAAGCCATCTGGGCCCTCTGCATGGTGTAGGGGTCCTGTAAGGACAGGGCCCATAGCTGTTCTTGGAAATGCCTTCCAATGACCGGAGTTCTCCCCAAGGGGTTTCCGAGCACCAGGGGACCACTCTCAATACGGCCCCATTTTTATATATACTGCTTTTAGAAATGGGAGTTAAGACTAAAACTATGACACCACAGTGAGTCAGGTGGTATGAGGTGTACAGCTGTGATCTTAGCTCCTCAGAAGCTGCCACAGAAGACTTCAGATGTAAGCCCAGCCTGGCTGGCATGTAGAGACCATATTTCAAAGAACAAGATAAAAAAAAAAAAAGAAAAAAGAAAAAAAAGAAAGAAAAGAAAAGCTTACTTCAGAAACCAAAGAGCCCAAAGTGAAAACCACAAAAGATGATGGGCAGAGCATCAAGCCTGCAGTGAGACTACAACTCGGGGCTGAGGAAAAAAAACGGAAGAGACCACTGCAGGCTGCAGACTCTATTCACTGCAGTGTCCTGAGGGGTCCCCTGGCCTGGATTGTCCGTCAGCAACCCCATCCTGGCTCTGGAACTTGAATCTTTGTGTAAGGGATGAGTAAGCATATGGCTAAATACCCCACTAGACATCTACCAGTCCTGTAAACTGAGAGCAAATCCAGGTGCAGGTTTTATGTGAAGTGCATTTGCAGTATAGTGGGTCCCAAGTTTACATGGGCAGCTGGCTCAGTGATTGACATACAGACTGCACAATAGTATGGCCCCTGGCCAGTGACTCCTGGCAAACCCTTAGCAGCTCAGTAGGGCAGAGAAAAGACAGAATGAATGAAAAGAGTCTTCCCTTTCTGCTGGAAGTGCCTTCCTTAGCTAACCAGCTTCCTTGATTGATCAGGTGGCACACACTTTTGATCCCAGTACTCAGAGGGGCAGTGGTAGTTGGAGCTCTGAGTCTGAGGCCAGTTTGGCCTACACAGAGTTCCCAAACTACATAGAGAACCCTGTCTTTTTTTTTTTTTTTTTAATCTTCCTTATACTTTCTTACCTTACCACTGACTTTCAACTAAGTGCCCAGGCACAAACCTCTATTTAAATATTAAGAAGGCCAAGAGAAGATGGGGCAGCCAGCCGGGGACCTTAAGGCCATGGGACTGACTGAGTCAGTGGGTGGTTTTTGCTTTGTACATCCCAGGCTAGGCTTTGTACATCCCAGGCTATGCTTTGTACATCCCAGGCTATGCTCTAAAAGAGCTGATAACAAGGGATGCTGAGATAGGAATAAATCCCAAAGAACCTGTTTCTGATCAAAGGACCAAGGGGGAAGGATGGCCTATGAAGATGCCTTTCTAACAGTCACTGCAAGCAGAGCTGTGCTTCTCCACCTTGCCAATACAGGGTGAATGGACAGCTAGGAGACTTTCATCTTTGCCCAGGGAGTGACAATCTGCAGAATCACCTGAGACCACACAGGCAGCCCAAACCTAGAGCCTCACCAGCCCTGAGCCAGGGCTGTCTGAAGGAGTCTGAAAAGCTACCTCCGCCTCCCAGTGACAAGGCACCTGCCCCATAGGCATCAGACTGCTCAGGATGGAGACTTGGCCATTGTATGTAGACCACAGGGCCTTACACCACAGCAACACAGTACTACAGACCTGGTGCAAGGAGATGTAATGAAGACGTCAGAACATTCTGGACACACAGAACAGTCTGGACTCATGAAAAGAGATGTTTGGTGGCAGCATGCAGATGACAAGTTCAGATTAACGTGACATTTTAAAGCGGACTTCAGAAAAATGTTCTCAGTAGAAATTATGAAGCCACGGTAAAACCAACAGAAAGTCAATGCCCATGAATAGATACAGTACATAGAACTACTCAGAAAATGAAAATCAAAAATCAATGAACAAGCCGGGCGATGGTGGCGCACGCCTTTAATCCCAGCACTTGGGAGGCAGAGGCAGGCAGATTTCTGAGTTCAAGAGTTCGAGGCTAGCCTGGTCTACAGAGTGAGTTCCAGGACAGCCAGGACTACACAGAGAAACCCTGTCTCGAAAACCCCCCCCAAAAAAAACAAAAAAAACCCAAAAAACAAAAAAACAAACAAACAAAAAAAGCAGAGTGGAGGACCCAACAACAGAGAGGCCTAGTCTTGGCAAGTGAGCACAGCGTTTAGAAAACAAAGGGGGTGACTTAGGGGAGCAGGAACAAAAGATGTGACAGTTACAGTATCACAGTTAGAACCGAAACAGGGCTAAAAAGTCCCAAGCTGGTAACATGTTCCTGTAGGCTGAAGCTGATGAGATCTTGGGCAGATACTCATCACTGGCCATCTTCCAACCACCAAAGCCAGTTCCTCACGAGGATCCTTGGGTGGACACTGGCAAAGGCCAAGAATTCTCACCTTGTGGAAATCTCCTTGAAGTGCTGGGAGAACACTGGTGTGAATTTAAAATGAATCTACTACCACAGAAAGCCAGCCTGTGGGTCCTTCGTGTTACAGAACTGCTGCTGAGTATGTTAAAGGAAACACAAAAGTCAGGCATCCTGAATGGATGCGAGAGGCAGATATGCACGTCCACAGTAACGGGGGAATTACTCCACAGCAGTCAAGGGAAGCAGCCCACAGGTCTGTCAATAGGTAAACTCAGTATGCTGCATATGCAGAGAATGTTGTCGAGACAGAAGGAAATCCTGGCACATGCTTCAACATGAATGAGCTTGAGGACATGATACTAAGTGAAGTAAGCCAGTGGCATCAGAAGAAAGCAAAATAAAGCCCAAATTAAAGGACATGACATGGTAGAGCTCAGTGAACTGAGAACACAAACACCAGTGCAGTATCATAGCAACGCTGGCTGCTGCTTTGGAAACAGGCCCTAGGCCAGGCTGCTAGTATCAGCAGCAATCGGCTGTCCCTAAGTCTATCCAGGCTGAGTGTCCTGTATCTAAAATGGGGCCAAGGTGTTGGGCTTTTAGATTGTCTCACGATATACACTTAGATAATGAAGTACTTGAAGCTAGGTCCAAAATGTAGAAACAAATTCATCTTATGACTAACATGCATCTTTGACAATTGCTACTGCATTGCATTCTGTGGACTGCCTCATGTAAGGTTAGTTGTGGATTTCCTATTTGTAGTGATAATCAAAATTCTTTAGACTTGGAGAATTTCAAATGTTCACATTATGGATGCTAAACTTGTAGGAGGCACAACTACATAAACTTGGCAACATATTGAACAAATAACTCATTTGATGTAAAATAACCCAAAAACTTAAGGAAATTCACTTAGAATTCCTAAATTACCCCAAATGTACATGTAAAAAAAAGTAGAAATGCTATGGAATTTTTGCTTACAGTATTAACAGGATTTTATACTGATGAGCTTTCTGGGAGGTGTAACATAATTCCCAGGGACCTGGGATGGAAGAAAACCCCCATGAGCAGGCTGGGGGGGGGGGAGGAGGAAAGGATGTTTGCTGCCAAGTTTGACAACCCTCGTTTGATTTCTGTGAGCCAAATAGTGGTAGGAAAGAACAAGTTGTCCTCTGACCTCCACTGTGGCATGCCTCCCATGTTGACAAATAATGAAATGGCTTCCCTGGCCTGCACTCCTGTTGTGATCTCTTTTTACCTCGCCTGTTTCTTGCTACACTGAGCCTGACTTGTCCCCCAGGCCTGGGCATCACCCCAACACCTCAGACATTAGCTCATGGACTCTGTCACGCTCAACCTGTCAGTCACTCTAAGGCACTGTTCCCGTTTGCTCTTTACAACTTTTATGTTCGCGTGCATTTTCTATTTTCATAGTGGGGCAACTGTCCAGTCTGAAGTTATTATAAATGTGGCCATGTAAACTCACCCTCGTATTTCCGTAACCTTAATTACCACTTGCAAGAGGCTGGTGATACTTGACTAAGGTCAGGGTCTCATTGCATAGCTACAACTGAGTCATGGATGTTTGCACTCTTTAATGTGTGTACTGTGTGCTGGGGTACATGCATATGACTGTGGGTGCTTGTGGAAGCCAAAGGCATTGGATCCTCCTGTAGCTGGAGTTATCAGTTGTGAGCAGTATGTGCTTTTAACTACTGAGCCACCTCTCCAACCCTGTGCATTTTAAACAAGGACACTAAATCTACTGGCTTTATCAGTGACACCTCTACTCAAATTGGGCCATAAAACTGCTCAAAGGAGTAAACTCTGAACTATCCCCCTGAAACATCTTTCCTTGTTTCTGGTTGGAAAGTTAGCTGCCATGGTCTGGTGCGGCAAACCCAGGACTTTACCGGCTCCTCCATTTTGTGCTCTTAGAGAAAACCCCAGACTGTTTCCTATAGTACTGGAGAGGGTGGGAGTGGGGGAGATACGACAAGCTGTCAGTCAGATGAGGTGTTTGTAGTCTCCAGTCCTTATAGCCCTCCATTTATTCATGGTGACCCTTCCCACACATGGCACTAAATCTCCAGTATGTGCTTTCCAGAGGACATACCACACCATAGGAAGCAGTTACTCAGGGCGCCTGAGGAACTAACTTGGAATGAGGGTCCTGTTAAAGAATGTCTTTCCTCCCCAGAGCTTGTCCCACTGTGAGCTCATCACAGATGAAGGGATCCTACACCTGAGCAGCAGCGCCTGTGGGCACGAGAGACTCCGGGTACTGGAGCTGGACAACTGCCTTCTTGTCACGGATGCCTCACTCGAGCACCTGGAGAATTGCCGGGGCTTGGAGCGACTGGAGCTGTATGACTGCCAGCAGGTCACCCGTGCAGGCATCAAGCGTATGCGGGTAGGTGTAAGTCCCTCTTAGGCTCTCCTTGGCAACTGGGGGGTGGATACCCAGAAATCAACATTCAGGCTGGGGAGAGGGCTCAGCAGGTAATGGTGCTTGCTGTGGAGCTTGTCTTCCTGAGATCATGGCCAAGAACATGAACCAACTCAATGTTGGTTTTTGACCTCCACATACATGCTGTAGCATGCACTTGCCCTAGCAATGGACACAATGTTTATACAAACTGTCTGGTTACACATGTGCTACCTTAGGCTTCTTCGTGCGCTCTGAGATCACTGCCACTTAGAGGAGTGTTTCAGAAAGTGCTGGGTTTGGGGGTGAGAGGGGGTTTAACAGGAATAGTTGTAGCTTACAGCATTCGGCCTGCCCAACATTACCGTCATCAATGTAAACGGATGAGAGGTTTTCCAAAGTTATACAGGAACCCTAATCCCATTTCCTTACAGGCTCAGCTTCCTCATGTTAAAGTCCATGCCTACTTTGCTCCAGTCACCCCTCCACCAGCAGTGGCAGGAAGTGGACATCGACTGTGCAGATGCTGTGTCATCCTCTGACAGCAGCTGCTGCGGCCACGGGCCCCATCCTCCAGGTTAGACCAGTCTCCTGACTGCGCCACCATCACCCAATCTCGACTCTCCATGGTGAAAGCATTACAGGTAAAAGACTTCGAGCAGCACAGATTACAGTAACTGGTGATGCTCTTCACCTTAATGTTGCTGGGATGCAAGCAAATCCAGGCCTGTGTCATCTACAGCAAGAGTGGTGTGGTGCAAGCTGGAGCCCATCCGAGGTGGGTACCTAGGCATATGAACCCCACCTGGCTTTGTCAGCATTCTACATATACACCTCCAGTGTTAGCACAACCTGAGCAGAGCAAAAGAGCCTGCTGGTCTTCTACCTGATCCTTAAGCCAGTGGCCTAATGTAATTCATAGCAATTCCTATTGATCTGCAGGACTTGTCCACTTTGAAGACTAAATAGCACCTTTATGAACGTGACTATACTGCAAACTCAGAATGGCTGCTAGTTTCATATGTAGAAACGTGTGTGAAAGGCATGTTAACATACTTCCATAAGACACCAAAGAAACAAGGCCTCTAAGCTGGGTGGGGCAGGATCTTCACCTTTCTGTTTGTGTAAACTCGTCATAACCAACTCTAGGGACCAAAACCAACCCCCTTTGCATCATCGATCCATTGGAAATGATAAGTCCTGCCATATGCTACAGCATATAGTGCATCTCTGTTGAAGGAAAGAAGCCAATTATGACCACACTTCTCAAAAACATTTGTGGGAACCTTGAGAAAATCCAGAATTAAGGCTTAAGTTATCTATAATCAAGTAAAAATAATGAATGGATGCATGTAGAATGGATGTGGTTTTTTTTCAATTTACTCTGAATTTTTAGAAACCATTTCAGAACTATTTTAAAGCTTTACACAAAAAAGTCAAATGAATCAAGTATTGGCAGCTTTCAAACCCACAAAGCCTCACCATGCTCACTGGAGTCAGATTGAGCAAATCCACTTACGCAGGTGCTCCTGTCCTTGGGACTGGAACAGGATGCTGTTTTTTACTATGGTGCTGCTGCTCTGTCCCACTGAGATCTCCCACCTTCAATATTAATGGTATCTGAACCTTCCCAGCGACACTCCCCAACCAGAACTGCAAAAATGAGCTTTTTCTGCCTCTGTGGACAGTGCTGAAGCATCTGTACAGACACAGTGACTCAGCTGCTTTCTAGGAGGGGGAGCAGATAATGGAAGCTCATCAGGTGAATCCTGTAAGCATTAGCTTACTGCGATGGGAAGGGTCCGCTGCCTCCTGACAGGCTGCTGTGCACCTATCACAGCAGCTACTTACCTGCCCCACTGTGTGTGGCAGGCAGGCGAGCGATGGAGGGAGCTGCTGAGTGAGCATGTCCTAGGCTTGCTCCAAGGAGTCACGAAACTCATTTCTATTAAATATCTGAGACAACTATACACATTTTTTTCTGAGCTAGAATGTGGCCCATTGCAGATGGTGGACTTGATGTTCAGTGACCATGACTTCAAGCCTACAAGAGCCTGGTTTTTCTCCTCTAAGTGTGCAGCAGGCAGTTCCTGTAACTATTTGTCGTGAGTTGCATCGCCTTTGTGGAAATCAGGATGAAGGTCTTACACCATGCACACTGAAGGCAGCCCTTGATTCCATGTGATCTCAGATGACACCAGGGCAACGTGATTTGAAATGAGTGACATGTTTACAAAACAGCAACGTGATTTGAAATGAGTGACACGTTTACAAAACAATCAGAAAACATTTATTACAGTGAACTGTACATCCTATAACCAAAGTAGCAAACTGCTGGTGCCGTGGGCCATGTACAGTTTCACTGAGATGGACTAGCACTTGGTGCCTCTCAGCACAATTTCAAGTCTGAGGAGCTTGTAAGTACTTTCACCCCACTTCTACAACCTGATAAGGAATTCAAAATAGCACACAGCATTAAATGACATTTATTGTTCCATAAATCATGAGATCCAAAAAGGAAAGCTACATAGACAAGCGAAATTCTAAAACAATTAGGAGATAAATCCACTTCTTTCCCAAGTAAGTGAATGGTACAGAAAGCATGTGGTCACACAAAGCAAAGGGAAGGACGGACGGGAGCGCTCCCTCCTAAAGGGCCTGCAGGGCTACTGCACTGCGGAAACCCAAGAGGACAACATCGAGACAGTTTGTTTTGTTGCAAGTAATTATTCCCCAGTATGAATAAAACAAACTGTTAAAGCCTTTACCCACTGAAATAGTCTGTCTTCTGGAAGAGATTTCACTTAAAACTTAATTATTCCTACCCACCTGAACAACAAGGGTCAGACAAGCGGATTCACAGCCAGCAGCTGAGCAAATGGGCAGAGACGCTACATAATTCAAATGGAAGGAAGTTTGTTAAGACCCGGATATGTGACAGGCCTCACGAGAGGTTGTGAGTGGGGAGGTGGGAGGGGATGGTGGTGTGCAAGCACACGAGTCACAGGCACACCTGTTACGGACAAAGCAGGAACGATGCAGAGTATAGAGTCCCCACCAATCACCACACTACCTATCCATGATTGTACTGAAACCCAGTGTTTGAGGAGGGAGAAGGGGAGGGTTTATGGAACATTTTAGTGTCTTGTTATGACATCTAGTGTTTCCATGGGTAATTTTGTCTCATTCAAAAAAAAAAAATCCCTTTAACATCATCAGAAACTATCAACAATGATACTGTTTCCCCCATTCCATCACCTAGTTCTGATGTCTGGGGAAAGGGCTTTTAGACATGGTTAAGAACAGAGCCGGGCACAAGACAAGCAGTGCACACCTGGAGTCCTAGCTTCTTGGGAGGCTCAAGTGGGGGAATGGGGAGACAAGAAAAGGAAACCACATTAGTTTAAAAGGCAAGGAGGTTTCAAAGGTGAAATTCAGAAACTAAAATGCTAAAACTGGAAGCGAAAGCCAAACGCCCAAATCTCTGTACCTATTAGGGTTTACACTGACCTCGCACAAGCTATGGCTGACAGTGCAGTCTGCTCATCCTCTGGGCTCTTCTCTGGTCTGGCATGATCCCCTCTGATGTACACCTTCAGACATGACTGCTTCTGAGAAGGTGCTTAGCCTCTTACCTGACCAATACGGCCGTGTCAGCCTAGTACAGAGCAGCTCCCCCAGATGCAACCCTATCTTCTCCCCAGATCAGCATAAAGGTCAGGCAACAAAAGCCAAACTGGCACAGAAAGGTAAATGCCCACGGTTGAGTTTTACATTCAATTCAAACCGCATACAGTGTGAAAAGCAGCAGCGACTGCTTCTGGGAGGTTCTGTCCGCTGGCCCCTGCCAGGGAAGCAAGTACTTGTGCCCACCATGGCTAGGAGCTGGTTGCATGTCACCTGACATGCTCGCTCTCTCGAGGATGCTGGGGCTGTGGCAGTGACAATGAGGAGACTTGTCTCTCCTACAGCTCATTAGGAAGGTCATCTTGTGTTTTCAATATGAAACATTTCACAGTAAAATCCAATCCCAAGACTTCTTGGATTCAGTCTTCACACACTTTTAAGCATGACTTTATTTGGTACTGAATAGAGTTCAGTCTGTATAAGGTATCACTTCAAAATTATGTGAATACCATCATTATTTTCAGCTGAAAAAAAAAACAAGATGGGGGAGGGGTTAAAACTTTTAACTAAGCTTAAAAGAGGAACAGGATTAAAACTGACAGCACTGTTCTAGCTCTTCCCTCAGACACACTCCCTGTAGCACTGCTCAGGGAGCCCAGGTGCAGCATTTGCCAGCTCTAGGCCAAGGGCTTAAGAGAGCAGCAGCAGATACACTTGTATGCTAGGACAAAATAGGCCAAAGCACTGTGAGGGCAGAGCTGAGAAAGCCCTGCAGAAAACATGCAGGCAGCTGCAGGCTCTGCTGTAGATGGACGTCTCTTTGTTGGAAAACTGGACCCTCAGAGGCAGATAGATATAGCAACACCTAATGGCCTCAGAGAGTCAGGAGACTCAGAGACGGTGTCCATGTGGATGAAGAAAACTAAGGCTGGAGAGACCCTGTGGGAGCCAACGCTGCAAGCACTCACTGGCTTCACAGGACATGAGCTGCTTGGGTTTTTTAATTTTGCAAAATAAAAGCTATTACATTTTAAAATGAAAGATGTTTCTTCACGGAAGCAGGGAACCAATTCACTACTGTCTCACATGTGCAGGTGTCCACATAAGGTAGCCTGAGGGCCAGTCAGGTAGGTATAAAGCAAATTGTATTTTCAAACCCCTTTGGGCAGCACCTTTCCAGAGTCACTACCATGTGACTCAAGACCGCTTCCTCTTCTGGGGTGGGGTCTGTGCTGAAACTAGTGTAACTGGACTTAACCCGTGTTCTGCCTTTCTCCGCTAACCTTGTAGTTTGGAGCACACTTGACCTGGCCTGGATCTCTTCCCACACTGCTCCCTAATTAGCTCTGTACAGCCTGCCCAGCTTTTAGTTACACTGACATCTGAACATTTCTAAATTAGTACCTCAAACTCAAGGCACCTCAGAATGGTACAATTAGCTGCCTGCTTGGCATACCAAGTTGACTTGCCTCTTTGATGAGGCAGCCACTGGCCCTGGCAGTCACAACTACTGTCCCTCCAAACCAGGAGCCAACTGAGCCCTGTCCCGAGTCCATACACTACTTTTTGCCTCTGGCCCCTATTGACTCCCTGTTCCAGTTTTGCTGTCTTGTCATTTTTCTCCACAGTGAGAGTAGAAAAGGAAACCCAATCCCATTGCTCCTTGTTTAAGCTACTTCACTGACTTCCCTACACATGTGAAGTAAGAGCCAATGACCACCATCGCCTGCCATCCCTGCATGCCAGAGCCTGCCTCTCTCCCCGACCCCTGTGCTCTGCTCACCCTCACACTGCATGGCCTTCTTACAGCTTCACAGAAGCCTAGTGCATTCTTCTGCAGGGTCCCACTCTGCCCTGGGTTAGCCCTGTGGCCAGCTCTTCCTTTTCCAGACCTTTTCCAGACCACCCCCTCAGAAAAGCTGTCTGACAGCTCTATGCTTACCCTATTCCCATAAGCCCAACGCGTTCTTATTCCTGCATGACACCTACTACTGGTCAATTCCTGTGCCTGTGGCCAATTCTGACTTTTCCCCACTATAATGGAATTCCCTGAGCCCTTATTCCATTCAAGCACCAACAGAGTGCTGTCTCAGAGAAACTGCTCAGCAAATACTGGCTGAATGGACTGTTTGGTTTTAGGTCATCTACAAAAACCAATCCTTTCTATACTGCATGCTAATTTCTATTACAAACACTAAAAATACTGTCCATCCACATTCCAACCTCTTACAAATCTACAACGATGTACTTTTCAAGAATATGCATATACACATGAGAGCTTCTAATCAGGGCACACACACATAGAAAATACCTTTTACTGTGGAGAATAAAAAACAAGTCTCATCTTGAAAGTTCTGAACCATCTAGAAGGATAAAGCAGACATGTAAGTATAATTAAGATCTACCAGTCCTTAACTGACCAGAAATGACTTAAATGTAGAGTTAAAGGACTACAACATAATCTACGCATCTTTCTTACACAATCAGACAATCCTAATCATTCCTGACGGCAGTATGAGAAAGTCAGTTTACACCTGTCATTTGTGAGCCACTGAGAAGCATATTGTGCCAGGTCCTGTGAATGTGACTTCAAGATTATACAGGCTGGTTCCTACTTTTACTGCTTGTCAGTGACACAGCTGGAGCACGGGTGGGTTGTACTTCTAATAGTAAATGTTTTAAAAATGCTGCTCTTCCAACAGTGTACAAAAGGAGAACAAACCTAATGCCTCATCTCAGAGAAAGGACCAAAGTCTGCCACACACATAAACCTTAGGGCTCCAGGAAGTATCTGAGTTCAAAAGGTTAGGGAAAGTCCAGCCCGCTTTCCCTGATTGTATGCTACTAGGATACTATTTTGATCCGACCTGTTTAAAAATGGCTACATTTAAAAATGACTATTGCAAGAGAGGCCAGCAGCATTGCTTCCATTCCGACACTCTATGAGTGCCCCTACAGCACGAGGGGACTACTGCCTGTTTGATTTACCTGGTCACTAACAAGAATGTGGATACCAGTGGGGCCCTGTCTGTAAACCTGGTTAATTTGGTGGAAAGGAATATTAAACACCAAGGCAAGTTTTCGAGCAACTTCTGAGGCAACCATTTCTTCCAAGTAGATTGCATGATAAACTGAAAAAAAGAAAAATAGCACTTTAGCAATACTATTTGATGTTTTATACTTGATCTATACAGTCTATCTTTTCAAAGTGCCAAAATAATAAAATTCAAATTTAGAATCAGGGACAAGGTAACATTTCTTTCTTTGCCCCTTTAAATTCTCTACCCACCTATTTGAAGTATAAGAACACATTATTTATGCTCATGTATAATAAATACTAACCCTGTATAAAACTATGACTTTCATTTTTCTACAACAGCTTCATATATTGAGGGGTAAAAAAAAAAGCATCAGGAATCAGAGTAATCACGGCAATGGGTTGGGGCAAAGGATGAAAAATATGTACATGGGTTACAGTGTCCTGCTGCAGACACAATGGGAGGAGCATGCTTTATATATTATGTCACAGCCAAGTTTAAAAAAACAAAACTCTAAAAGGAGTCTAAACCAGTAATCCTCCAAATGAGGACATAAGACTAAAAATGACCTGTGTCACCTCCTGTACACACACAAAGTTAAAGGACATGGAGACAGCACTCTATGAAAAGTAAGGATACAGAAAATGGAGTCTGGTTCTTCCTTAGAAAGTCCCAGCCTTCAACATTCACCGTCTGACATTTCTGTCCATGCCTTGAACACAGCAGCACTCTGAATCTGTGTGTTAGTGTCAGTGAAGTGTGTCCTGCTCAAACTGACTCAAACCGGACATAGGCCTCACCAGGGACGTGAACAGCTCCACACACAGGAACAGTACTAATTACACATTTCAAAAAGCTTAGGATTAGAGCTCAAAACTAAAGGCGACTCTGAAGGATCACCATTATCAATGTTTGGTGACATGTGCCTGGCCTCTGGCTATTTTAATAAAGTGGACACAACTTTCTGTTTACAGGAACAAGGCCAAAGGTATTGTTCATATGCCCTCTGTGGCTTCTTCAAGGCTGTAATAGAGTGCAGAAAAGCCCCTGTATGTGAAGTGTTACTACCTGGTCTTCAGCTCACTAAATTTGAATGGTTAAGGATAAAATAAAGGTCTCCCATGTCTCCACCTACGCCCCTACAACACTCATCTCTGAGGACACATATTCCCTAATCCACTCCTGGCAAAATGTGAGTGACATACATGACGTTGATACAGAGTTCCTTTAAAAATCTTATGTCCTTGGTCTTAAAGGCCACAGCTGTGATTATTGCTCTTCCATTCATTTAAAGCAATCCAAGCCATGAGGCATTTCTCAGAGCTCCACTACTACTAGGTACCTCTTAGTACCTAGAAGGCTGTAATACATGTTTCCCTGAAGCTGAATGTCACCGTCATTCTATTTCAGAATGTGAGGAGAGGGGACATTACTACCACCATACAAATGAGAGCAAGGCGTGCTCATGCACATCGGAAACCTTGGGACTCTGGAGGATGAAGCAGGAGAATGGCCAGCTTAGACTACCTAGTAAGACCTGGTCCCAACCTCTCAATCTCAAGTGTTTCTAATCAAAGGAGGGAGGAAAAAGGAGACGGGAGAGGCCAGACTGCTTCATACTGTCCAACTGAGATGAATCTGCAGGGCAAAGAAGCCCTCCTCAGTCAGAAGGTAAACTATACGGCTTGTGCTAACACTGACCAATACACAGCTCCCACCATCCTGCCTGCACGGCACACTGGGAAAGACTATTATACTGACCTGTCTTTGTTCATGTGTGATAATCAGGAGTTGTGTCTCCTGCATCCCCACCTAGTTAGTGAAATGGAGGGGGAACCCCCGCCCCCCAAAAAAACAAAACAACCACCTCTTTGCCCAGCAAGCTGCCAATGTGACATTCATTCAGAAAGGCCTTAACGAGTTCAAGTTATTGTAGTGATTGCTGGGAATTTCTTACATAAAAATCACATCAAAGGAGATCTACAGCATGCATAGTTGAGGACAAAGAAGGTTCTAGTTCCCTCCTTTCCCCAGGACTTGGGCCTACAGCTGTTCCTGTCAGCTCGGCAGTCCTGCGCTCACATCAGACAGTCTGAGGGAGGACAGGAAGGAAGTGCCCTCAATACCCACCGCAGGGCGTCCCACCGCCACTTTCACCTCCACTGCCTGCAGCTTGTGGCTGCCCTTGCAGTACAGTGCTACTCGGCTGCTCCTGGCAGACATAGATGGTTAAGCGGGGCCTAACCGACCTGTAATCAGAAGATGCCGTCAATGAGACTTAGGGCAAGCTGCTTCAGCATGTACAATCAACAACTACAGGAATCTACGGTCTAGTTTTCCTTGTGAGAACTTTTACAGTGTTATTTTATTATGCAAAATAATTTTCTAATAAAAATATAAAAACCACACACCTCACACCAACTATCACAGGTCCAGACTCTAAACCACTGAGATGGTCTGTCAGATGCTGGTAAATTTAAGTTTTAAGATGATTAAGCAATGTGAAATCAGTAAGGCCCGCGTTTACTGAAGCCTCGGCACACAAGTCTAGAGACAGCAATGGCAGCAGTGGCTCTCAACGGCAGCAGTCACAGCTCTAGCATTCTAATCGACACTTACAATTCACAGTTAATAACTGCTTAACAATAATCATGACCTTGAAAACCAGAGATTCTGTAGAGCTCACCTAAATTAGAAGTTTTGTTTTCTTGGCAACAAACCCAGTCGTCTTCAAGAAATCAGTCCTGCCCATGTGCATTGCTACCAGTCTTAGTCTACCTCTGCCCTCATCAGTGCCTGCCCTGAAGGTGTACACAAAACAGTCTTCTCGTGAGCACAATGCTGCCGAGGCTCGGTGGCACACACAGGCACACGCCAACCTAGCGTGGAAACACATTCTGCCCACCAAATCCCCCACACAGAGAAAAGTCCACTTTCAGCTCAGGCAAAACAGTCTATAGTATTTTACCTTGACTTCAGGGAATTATAGAGCCGAATTCCATCGGCTGCACCACAAATCTGAACTAAATCCTCCTTTGTCAGCTTTAATAAGTCGGCACCTGGAAAACAGCAGAGACCCTCAAATAAGCAAGACACGGATGGACAGAGCTGCTGCTTCACGGCAGGCTTCATCACACGGCTCTCTCTGCCTTTCTGAGCAGCACCAGGTGTCCTGGATCACACCAGAACACACATCTGTCCCGTAGAGAAACAACATGCTGTGGTAACAAGGTGCCCGAAGCTGATAAATCAGCGACCACGGCTAGAAGGCCTGTCTCCTCCCAATACTAGGTTCCTATAGTGCCTTTCTTTCCTTGTTGCTGGACTGTGGATAACCATATTTCCGACACCCCCTAAAACTCCTTTTTAAAAACATAAATGGAACATAAATGGAACACTGACATCTGGGGAACTTGCCCAAAGTCACCAGTGAGTGAGAAGCAGAGTGGAGAGTGCGTCTCATTACACCACAATGTGCAATACCAAGTTAGACACTGTAAAATTCCATCCCCACAGTCAGTTCTAATAGGAAAGCTTAGTACAAAATCACTGTCCCTTCAGATTGCTTCCATACGTACTTGGTGTCTAGGATTTGCCTCAAAAGCATCAAGAAGGGCAGTGTGTATAAGGGAGAAGTGGATACAAGACTGAGCAAGCACTGGGCAGCAGTGAAGTTGGGATAGTCAGAGGAAGTCTTTCATGTACTCAATACTATATTCAGAGACGTATACAAAATCTTTTTACTCTTTTAATATCAGTCAAGACCCATACTTCCAAAATGAGGGTATGACTTCATATAATAAACATGTCCCATATGTAGCAAGGTAATGGGGTTGCTTCACTCACTCACTCGCTCACTCGGCTCACTCACTCAACTCACTCACTCGGCTCACTCACTCGGCTCACTCACTCACTTGGCTCACTCACTCGCTCACTCGGCTCACTCGCTCGCTCACTCACTCACTCACTCGGCTCACTCGCTCACTCACTCACTCGGCTCACTTGCTCACTCAACTCACTCACTCACTTGGCTCACTCACTCGCTCACTCACTCACTCGCTCACTCACTCACTCGGCTCGCTCACTCCTCACTCACTCGCTCGCTTTGTTTCATAGGCCAAATGAAAGAGCCTGAGAGTCCTAGCTTATAAAGAAATAAGAACCAGAGAAGCCTAATTCCCATGAGATGTGAGCCTGTTTGCAGTCACTCTTGGAATGATAGAGGTTCCCTGTCTACTAGGGTCACACAGCTCTGAAGCAGGGCTCCCAGTTGTGACATCTGTAACTCATGAAGACGTGTATCCCAGCTGGTGATGGTGAATCCCAGCTCTGACACGTGACTGACCCCCTAAGAGACCTGTTATTCTCTTAAGTGCTGTGGCTCACTCAGGTGATGTGCCAAAGAGCAGCTCTGCGTGAACCCTCCAAAGGAAGTCCCCAGATTAAGGAAAACACAATGCCAAGCCCTGTGATCACTGTGTACAAGGAAAAAAGTCTTAGAGCCCCACAGAACATGGAGTTACATGCAGGTCCCAGACAGCAAAAGCCATTCGTTCTGTTTGCTCTTCAGCCACTTGCCCTATATAAGGGCTCATGAAATCCTTCTCTCATACTAAATTCTATAATTTCTAGCTTTTCACACATTAAAGGCTTTATTTAATCATATAAAAATATGGATCCCAGCAAGCAAATTGTTTCTACGTGGAATTTTAATTTTAGAGTTCAAAAGCTACATGGGGAATAAGTACCCAGTGTACAAACAATATAATAAATGACATAAAAAAAAATCACTGTTTGTAAAACCAGGCTTTCCTTTGTGCACAGATATGTCTGTCCTCTTAAACTGTTTCCACAGCTCCATATACAAGCAAACAAGCAAAAGGAATGCTAGCTGCCACATCTCTGTGGTCCAGCATTTCTCAGAATGTTGGGTCAGGACTCATTAGCAAATGCCCCTGCTTCCCTCATGCTCTCTCATGCCCCACTACCTGGGGCAATGCTGTCTGACACTGAAAGTCCCACCAGAACATTCCCTTAGTTTCCTGTGTGGATAAAGAACAGGCTGCCTATGACACACATACCTGAGCAAAGCCACACAAATGAGAGAATTGCTCTATGTGAAAAGGTTTAAGCCAACAGGACACAGGGTAGCCTTATGGGACCTGAGCTCATAAGGCCAAGGAAGAAAAGGCCAGAATCTAAGGGTCACATACTATAGGGCTTCATTTGTTTAACATTCTCAGAATGACCAATCATAGGCAGGGCAGTTCAATGTGTGTGGCAAAGAGGTGGTGGTGGTGGTGGTGGGGATGAATTTACTATGAGGCAGCAAGACAGATGACAGTACCTAGATAGACATTCACGCTACATGCATGTGTATCTTAAGTGCAGTGGTAGATGCACAGAGCTACACTCACTGCACAGTGATAGACCTATACATCCATGGTATTAGTGTTGACTTCTGTTTACAACAGTATATTACAGTTTTGTGAGAAACTGAGAGAATGTGTGCTAAATTATCTCCCAACTGTCTTTGCAGGTTATCATTAAACAAAATATTATTTCAAAGTAAGTTAGCATTGGGACTGAAGAGATGGCTCACCAGTTAAGAGCACATGCTGCTCTTGCAGAGGACCTAAGTTCAGGTCCTAGCATCCATGTTGGGGAACTCACAACCACTAAATCCAGCTTCAGGGGATCTGATACTTCTGGCTTCTGTGGGCACCTACACTCACATGCATATAACCCAGAGACAGGCACATACGTGCACGCACTCGTGCACACACATATACATATATAAACACACACAAAATACACACACACACACATAAAATTTAAGTAATAAAAAAAATAGAATGAAAATACCACGGAGAACTAAACACATTGCAATGAGTGGAATTTCCTGGTTTGGAGGAATTTGTTACTACAATGGAGGAAAACTGAGAGATAATTTTTTTTTCTTGTTTGTAATAGATTTCTCTAAAATTATTTCAAAGGTTTCAAAATTCTTAGTTAACAAAAGCAGAAAAACATACAAATAAAATATTCTCATGCATGCACACAAATATACATACCTGAAAAATTAGAGAACAGTCTTGTGTAGGAAGAGAACCTATTTTTGAGCAGCCACTGCTGTGTTTCCTGGGTTGTAGCTGAAGGCTGAATTTGCTATTAATTAAAAAAAAAAAAAAAAGGAGCATAGATAAAACTAACTAGTCAAGCTTTAAAACGTCATTGGCTGTCATGAAGAATATTTAAGCAAAACTCAAAAGGCTTTAAAATCTGAAGTCAGAACACAACTTGATGAATGAGTGGCCCACATAATTTGGTGAGAATCTTTATATTTAATGGTTTTAGGGAAAGATACTTACTTCCCCAGACGCTTGTGCTGCTCCATCTCCCTGGTGATTTGGGGATGAAGAATTGCTGGAGAAAGGAAAAGGAAGGAATGGTTTGTGATGTTTTTGTAAGTTAAGAAATTAAAGGCTATCAGTGCACAGGCAGTCTGAGATAGGACAACAGAAGAAAGAGCTGTGTAAGCTTGCAACAAGAATGCAACCCAGGAGGGAGTCGGAGGACAGGGTGCAGGCACAACAGCAGCACCGCCATGTGTGAGGTTGGCCCTGGGAAGTGTTCCCTTGAGTCTTTATATGGGTGCCAGGAAAATGGGGACAGTATACATTCGTTTTAGTTAGGAAAATATGTGAAATCAAATAAGAGAAACAGCTAAAAATAACCATAAAACATTCTAAGAAAAAATGAGGCTATAAGAAACAGTGATCCTAACTAAACAGACAAATCTTCCTTTTTAGTTAATATATCTGCCCACGAGTACAGGAAATGAAACAAACATGCGAGTCAAAGGCATGAAGACAACTGCAAATGACTGCCCAGAGGACATGCACCTCCCTACTGCTGAGCGGGGTTCCCTTCTCAGCACTGCTCCCCATATCCTACTCCCCATGTCGCCTCCCTACATCTCTACTCACCAGATCTTAAGCCCCTTCCAGTAGGAAATTGTCTGATCTTTTATATATCTCAGTAAGTAGGACCATGCTGGAAACACAGTTGGCTCTCAGGAAACATCTAGACAACTAAGGCACACAATTCCAAGCTCATCCTAGGATCACAGTTGTTTGCTCACATACCCAGACAGGAAACACAAGAGACCTCGTCTATGTTACACACTGGCTCTCTGGTCCCTTGGTCCAACCACTATGTGCTAATAGGCTCCTGGCTAGGTGTTCCATCTCCACAGAAGGAAAATGAGATTTTGTCATTTTTCTTACCAGATCTTGTCAACAAAAGACCTACATAGAGAACTTTCCCCTGCCATCTCAAGCTTTCTTAATTTTTCTGTCCCATAAGAAACTTCTTAAAAGCAGGAACTTCTGAGCTACTGTCCTCCAGCAAGCCAAAGGAGCCAAAGGCTTAGAGAGGCCTCGGGCCTATGCAGCTCCCATTCTGAGCTCCCCAAACTCTCAGCTATGAAAGCCAAGTAACACACTTAACAAAACCCAGAGGTCTTGATTTGAAAGCCATTACAGTCTTTAAAAAAAACAAAAACAAAGATCTTTCCTTTAAATCTTAAACACTCAACTAAAACTACATTTGCTGAGAAGGTAAGAAACAGTACAAAAAATAACCTTTGACGTGTGATAACTCAAAGCCCACTGTGCTTTGTAATCAATGTAATCTTAATATATTCCTATCAGAACCTCCCATCAAGCACTCACCCCGAGTCCTTAACTGAACTCTATTAATGCTTTCTTAAATCTCTCAAAGACAATTCCTTGGCTCTATCTTAAAAACTCCTCTTCCCACTTTGTCAGGCAGGGTCTTGCTATATAGCCCCGAGGCTGCCCTCGAACTGGAACTCTTCCTGTTTCAGTATCTGAAGAAAATGCTTCTCTGTCTACTTTCTGCAGTTACTGTAATTGTCAACATGTGAGACACATACTAAGTACACAAAGGCTGTCAGGTGAAGACTCTTATGACTCAAGCATGGGCTATTTTCTAACATCTGACACAGACACACATACAGGCCACATGGAGAGGGACTTGAAGGAGCAATGGTTAGGTGCAAGCACAGGCCACACAAACCAGGTACCTGTCTGGGACACTGCATGTGCTCTGCTGTGAGGAGGTGAAAGTGGGCGCTGGGGAAGGGCTGTTATTCACATAGGCTGTAGGGGTGTCGGGCCATGGAGAACACTAAGGATAGAAACAGAAATGAGTTAACAACACGTGTTTTAAATGTGTGGAAGAAGCACTTTTATAATCTGGTCTCTAACTGATCCCATACAAACTTATAAAACACAAGATTCCTGGTACCTATCAAATGTGTCAAATTCACCCTGTGTAGCAAAAGACACTCATTTAGCTTAAAGATGTCCTGAGTGATGATAGCAGCAACATTTATAGACATGTTTTCTGAAAGCTTACATGCATGCACACACATACACACAGACAGACAGACACACACATACATTTCTAGTATCTTCTGTCAGATGCTCCAGCAAACATATCTTAAGGTTTCAAGGTTTAAAAACAGCAGACAAAGATTCACAAGCAACAACTGACATTACACAGTAATCTGGGTGTGGCTAGGTCCTGTTGACTGCTCCTTATCCCTGCCAGGGAGCAGCCTCATCAGTACCCATCAGTATCCACCATGATATAAGACAAGATTTACTGAACAGGCTAGCATGCAAGCCTATCGATTGTGCGTATGCTGCTGTGTGTGTGTTTGTGTGTGTGTGTGTGTGTGTGTCCCCTAAAAAGATATGGCAAACTGAGTATCTCTCAACCTTAAGCAAAATTCTGACAAGAGACAGAGCAAAGATATAGAAACACATTAGTTATAAAACTGAATAAGCCAAGGTTCAGAGTATGCTGAGCGGGCCACAGTAATCAAATCGAAACTTTCCCTTCTGAGCTTCACAAAGGTCCACCTAACAACCAGTATTCTTTCTATAGGTATTCTTGCTGAGGATTTAAGTTTCAAGCGTTCCCCTTTATAACCGGCCTGCTCCCATTTGAAAGAAGAAAGACATCACATCTACCCTTAGCACTGGGTTTCAAGAGTCTCCACAACCAAGCAAATGCCAGCTTTATCTGTTTTGTCCATTTTTATATTTATTAACTATTCATTAAAATTTGTATAACTGTTTTAATAAACTTGTCCTAATGAGTTTTTCATTTTAAAATTACATTTATTTGCACGTGTGTGTGTGCGTGCGCATCTATATGTACGCACAACTGCCATGGCGTGCATATGGAGGTCAAGGGACACTTTGTGGAGTCTGTTCTCTCCTTCCACCACTGAGCCTTGTAGTCAAAACTCAGGTTGCTGGCACACACACAAATATTTAATTTCTCACCCAACTTTAATCTATAGTCGTAAGAAAATCTAAAGAGTTAATTTCAAGCCAGGCTTGGTAGCATATGTCTGTAATTGGGCTTGGGAGGTGTAGGCAAGATGATCAGAAGTTAAGGCCAACCTCAGCTACACGAGACCCCAAATTTAAAATAAGAAAACTTTCTTCCCAGTTCAGAAAAATCTATTGTATCCAGGAATGGTGGTGACTGATACTTGCAATCCCAAAATTCAGGAGGCCAAGACAGACAGACTGCCTTGAGTTCAAGGTCAGCCTTGAATCAGAAACCCAGAGGCTTTACTGTAAAGAACTGGAGTTATTAGGCTCGAGATGCTCAGGAGGAAAGAGCATCTTGTTCTTGCAGAGGACCTGGGTTCAGTTCTCAGCACCCACATGGTGACTTACAACCATTTGTCACTCCAGTTCCAAAGGATCCAACACCATCTTCTGGCCTCCTAGACACTGCACACATGTAGTGCACAGACATGCATGCAGGCAAAATGCTCATACATATAAGATAAAAACATGTAACTCTTTAAAGCAACTGAGGTTATGAAAAGGCCTCCAGGCATAAGGGTGATCACATTAAGACAACACTTAAAACCAACAAAGGGGAGACCAAGAGAGATGAGCGGAATAAACCTGAGAATTAAACAAAGGAAACTTGAAATGTTTGTGATCCTTGGATTCTGCAAGCTACTTCCTCTTAATTAATAATAGTTTCAATTTTTAATAGTTTTTTGTTTGTTTTGTTTTCTCAGGAGACAGGGTTTTTCTTTGCAGCCCTGGTTTCACTCTGTAGACCAGGCTGGCCTTAAACTCACAGAGATAAGTTTTAATTTAATAAATACAAATACTCATCATGCCAGGAAATGCTCCCTTTGCAACTATTCAAATTTACAATGAAATATTTGGATGCCAGTTTGAAAATAATCAAGGGAAAAATTACCTTTTTCAAATTCTTTGCAAAATGTTAAGCCCACTAATGTGAAGCTCAGAGCTTACACTGAAAGTCTCTCCAAACAGAAACCACATGTCTTAGCAGCCACCAAACACAAGCATCAACAGGGAAAGAAAAGAAATCACCAGTTGTCTTCACATCTGCCCAACTATAGAGTCCTTGAAAAAGACAGAAATCACCACAGATTCTGTTCCCGAGACAACCACCTCTCAAGGCAGAAACTAATGGCTGGTCAACTCCAGTAGTGACCTTACTATAGAGGTCATTCCACATGAAAATACCTGTTGTTTTAAGAGTAGAGCCTTTGCCTTTTATCTTACTAAGTATCACTCTCTCTTCGGCTTACACAGTGTGGAGTGCCTGTTCCTATTACAGCACATCTAACCAAGGGAGCGAGGACTTTCACCCCACTACATCCAAGGGTTTCCTTTTACACCATTCTCTCCTAATAAAACATATTATAATGTATCCAAACATACACATCTAGATAACTCTTAATATCCAAAGCAATGCCTCTCCAAAACAAATTGACCTTGGCTACTGCTAGCTCCTTGAGAAAACAGAGCTATCCCCAAACTTGAAGTTGGTGTGGTGCAGCAGAGATGGTCCGTTTACTCACCATACACTCGTCTATTACAAATTTAAATGCTTTTACTATCACAAGAGGAGTTTTTAATTTGAGGTTTTGTTTGCTTTATGGGGCTGGAGAGCAAACTCAAGAGTCTTCTGTGTGCTAGGCAAGGGCTGTAGCACTAATGGGCTGCTTTAAAGCAAGCGGAAGGAAGTGCAGTGTGATGTTTCTGAAGCCTCTGCCAATGGTCTGGACTGTGCGCTTCTGGTTTCAGGGTACCCCAAAGGTAGAAGTTTCCCACAGAGAGGGAAGAATGAGGACCCAGTGTCGGCAGCAAGACATGGATGTGCCAGGGATCAATAGACACACAAAGGGTTTGTTATGCACCATCTCCTGGGAACCAGTAGGAGTGACAATTCAGTGTGGGACCCTGTCATCCAGCACCTTTTATATTTTGTCAAGACTTCTGGATATATATCCCTTTAACTGAAAGCCAACTGTTAACTGCCCCAAACTCCAAGAAAGGTGCCCCCCCACTCCCCACCCAGTGCCCCACCCAGTGCCCCACCCAGACATTTGAAGAGACAGACCAAGTGCTGCAGCTACGATCTTGGTTAAGGGTTTCATGACCTGCACCTTGCATTTTGAAAATAGGCTTACAGCTTACGGTCTAACCAACACCAGAAGTATCATACCCAAACCAAATGCAGCCAGGGTGGCAGGTGACGCACTTAAGAAGATGTGAAATCCCAGGCATGAACTGCTGATGTTTTGCATATTATGACTTAGGATGCACTGATAATTTACCATGGACTTCATCATTTTCAGATTGGCTCTGGGCTACAACACACTAGAACCAACTTCTTTAAATTAGGTAATTTCTAACAGGCAAGTTATAAGGCAAGTGACTTAAGTTCTCATAAGCGCCTCAAAAAAAATTAAGAACATTTGTAGGTTTTTAGAACAATTGAAGATAATAAAACATAAAATGGAAGGACAGACAACTGGGAAAAGGAGCATCCAGTGGTTCTGACCACCTCTGATTTAAACCAAAACAGACCAGTTAAAGAAAATATAAAGAACCAGGTGTGGTGGCTTACACCTGCAAGCCTAGTACCTGGGAGGCTGAGGCAGGAGGACTGCCATGAGAGCAACAGAGTGAGTTCCAGGCCATGCTGAACTAGTGTCCAAAAAACGATGATAGATGGGTAAGTAAGTAAGGTGGATAGATAGATAGATAGATAGATAGATAAAATGTAGCATATGCTCCCAGCACCCGGGATGCAAGCACGCATAAAGAAGCTTTAAACACTGCTTTAAAGTGGAAATGGCATCCCTGTGATAGTGCTTGTGACATTGCCCTTCAAATTCCATAATTAATCACAGATAAAGATAAAAGAACAAAAATCCACTTTGGGGACACCAATACTACAAACAGTGCAATAATGAACAGAACATTCAAAATAGTTATTTAAAGAAAACTTTTAATATAACTTCTAGTATTTAATAAGGGTATGTAAACTGATTTAAATCTGCAACCAGAACAATCCTCCGTGGACTGCTGGACAGAGCTGTGTTAAAAAGACATGCTATATTTAACCTGACAGAACTCAACCAAAACCCTCACCAGCTGCTTACTATTCCTGAGGGTCCTGGGGTTAAGTGCAGCAAGGTCACTACTGTAGTCTGAAGAATTACATCACAACGCAGGTGCCAAGAGTAAACACTACACAGTCAAAGATGTTTTTCTACTAGTGCTGCTAAAGAGGCTTTAGAAGCACAGACACACACACGTTCTTGTAGTGCATGCAGGGAATGTGGCACATGTTAACGCCAAGCTCGCTGCCATCGCTTAACTATCTACAAAATTTTCTTATTAGGTTTACAAGGAAAAAAAGCAAAACTTTCATTAACTATATAAAAATAGCTATTTAAATTAGTTAAGTAAGCTGGGCAGTGGTGGCACACACCTTTAATCCCAGCACTTGGGAGGCAAACAGGTGGATTTCTATAAATTCAGTGCCAGCCTAGCATACAGAACAAGTTGTAGGACAGCCAAAGCTACACAGAAAAACTCTGTCTCAAAAAACAAAACAACAAAAATTAATTAATTAATAAAAATAAAATTAGTCAAATAATTTCAATTATCTTGAAGGAGTCCTGTGTGTGAAGGGGGGGAGGGAACAAGAGAACAAGTTGGAAAACATATTTCTGAGTGTTCAAACCACCCAATATGGTCAACATTGTTTATGTTTTGTTTTAAAGTGTTAGATTTAGGAAATTTTCCTCAGTGAGGAACAAACAGAAAGCAGAAAGCTAAACAAAAGCAAATTAAATCAAGACATGGACATCAAAAACAATTTTGGCTTTACTTTCCCATGGAAGTTGATCCTATATCTAACACTGCACAAGGGTTCTTGCACAATGAAAAGAGAAGCAGAAGCCCCTTACACTGCCTCGCTTTGCCAGAGAATCACCGTAGTCTGCTGGCAAAGTCCGCTTGCTGGACTTTTTCTGCTCATGTTCAACTGCATCTTCAATTATAGGCTCAAGCCTCATCTGGACAAACACCAAAGATTGGGATCAATGTCTTTTCATTATACAAAGAAAGACCTAAAACCCTGTTTTATGTCTTTGCGTTCAATTAAACAAATGTATGACTAACAGGATTCAAAGTTAAAGAAAATGCAAAACCCCAGCAGTGACAAAAATTGGACATTCTAGGCCCCCACTTAAATCTCTTATCAATTTCAAGGTTTTCAGGTCTATTGTGAGACCTCACATTGGGATTTCAGCATCTTCATTCAAGATCCCACCCACACAAATAAACTCATAAAAATCCCCAAACTTAGAAAAAACATGTACCCACAAAGCCCTCAGAATATCATGTCAATCCGCCACCCAGCCACCCTATAAACCCTTTGTTGCCACACATGTGAGGTCCTGCTAACACGCAGACCTCTGCTTCTCTCCAAAGCCAAAGGCTGCACTCTATTACCTCTGTGAGAATGGTGGTGTCGTAAGATGGCTGATACTTTTCTTTTTCATGAGCTGTTCTTTTCTCCATCTTTTCTCGGTCATTTTTTTGTTTCCTGTCCGCACCTTTAGGCTTGAACACAAAGTAGATGACTTCAATCACCGAGCTGCACATGGCTTTACAAGCGACTCTGAGCATCCCTCCTGGGCTCTGGTGTTTACCTTAAAGACCTTGATTTGGCAGCTAGCTGAGTGAAGATGATCTGTGTACTCCCCGCTCTCATTCTGCTTAAACGTGTCAACTTGGATCCTAAAAGGCACTCCTTTCTCACCTCCATGCTTTCTCGGGGTGAACTCTGTGCTGATACAGTGTACCTATAAAACAATTTCAAGCTGAAATACACTCAAAAAATCCTTCCACTGGGGCTCTATTTTATTCACTCATGGATGTACATGCAAGATCCCTTAAAACAGATAAAACAGTCCAATTATCTCATGAATTTCCTGAATTATTCTGGATACAAACTTTCCTTTCAGAACCCCACTGTCCCTGGATCCTTGCGTTCTAGCACTTCTCTCGGGGGGATTTGCTCCAGTGAGGAAAGAAGGGCACAGAAGCTGCTTTGTGCTGTCACCTGTCTCCACCCCATCACCATACACTCAGGTCCCTAAGGCGCTTGCTTCATCACAGCCTCTACCCTGCTGTAGACAGCCAAGCTTCTTGCTACTGCTTCTCTGTATACACCATATTGTGATTTTTTTTCCCTGGGCAATTTTCAGGCCTTAGAACCTCATTCTTTATCCATCTAAAATCTCCAGGTTAACCCTTGTTAGTCCTGTCAGGATCCCAAGGGCAATATTCATTTTACTCCCCCCTTCAGAAAACAATCTCAGAGTACAACAGAAAAGTTAGCAAGCAGCAAGACCATAGTCATTTCAGACTTTACACAGACATGCCCTTGTCCAAAGATGTGCAGTGTGAAAGTTCAATTCTGAAATATGGCTGCACAACCTGAGATATAGCCAGGTACTATACCTCTCATGTACTGTAAAACTTGTTATTCTATTAGACAAATACTAATATGAATCATGTCATCATCATTAAATGATGGGTAACATTTGGGAGACAATCCCAACAGTGAATGCTAATCTTCCTTAGAGTTGATGTAAACACTTAAGCTGGTCAACAATTCGATGGCTATCCCTTCCTATACAATGACTATCTACACAGTAGTTAAAATTCTACCACTTACAAATCTACACACAGTACATACCACAATCACTTTTGAGTTTTAAATATGTGGTCATGTTAATTTCAAGGTTATCTTTTAGACACATGAAGTATCTGTGGGTGTGTTTAACATGTGTAGCAGTGCCTGGTGCGGTGGTGCACAGCTGTGCTCCCAGCACTCAGGAGGAAGAGGCAGATGGATCTCTGTGCACTCCAGTGAGACTGGTCTGCATAGCAAGTTCCAGGCTAGCCAGAGCTACACAGTGAAACCCTGCAAAAAATAATCCAGTAATAACTAAAAATAGAGAAAAAAATGGTAACTGCTTATACCACATGATGGCCACATGAAGAATCCTCTCTTATTTCTTCATTTGTGGAGGGTTTACAGTTTGATTACAAACATGCTTTAAATAATGTTAGAAAAAAATATTAAACCTGAAACTTTTTTCAACAGTATCCTTTTAAATAGCAGTTTCTGTTCCAGAGAAATGTGCATCATGAAAAACACGGAAATTTCGATCACTATGAACACCAATAATAAAAAAAAAAAAAAGAATTTAGCCAGGCAGTGGTGGCGCACGCCTTTAATCCCAGCACTTGGGAGGCAGAGGCAGGCGGATTTCTGAGTTTGAGGCCAGCCTGGTCTACAGAGTGAGTTCCAGGACAGCCAGGGCTACACAGAGAAACCCTATTAAAAAAAAAAAAAATTAAAAACTAGGTGTGATGGCACATTATTCTACCTGGCAAATTCCAGGTCATATAAGTAGAAACAAAAACAAAAACAAAAACAAAACTTCTTCTTTTCACCAAATGTCTTTTATGTCTACACAACTAAGGTACTAAATTAAACCCATTTTAACTGTGTGCACTTTAAGAAGAAAAAGGCATTACATTATACTTTACAAGTAGGAAATATTTTCATGAGATAGGAATCTAATCTTCTAAACGAGTGGGGCAGACATGAAAAGGCAAACCTGAATGAAGGCAGATGTGCGCTTTGCAGGGTCCCACAGAAATTCAACTGCATTTAACTGGCTTGGATTTGTTCTTGTGTCAATTATTCCCACAGACATTGGAATATCTGTATGTTCAAACACAAGTTACAAAAAAAATGGATCCATTTTAAGTAATTAAAAGACTTACAATTTGAGCCTGGTGTGGTGGCACACTCAAGGAGAGAAGTAGAGTCCCAGCTATTTGGAAGGCTGGGGTACAGGGGATGGCTTCAGACTAGGGGTTCAAGCGCAACCTGGGCAGCATAGTGAAACCCCATTTCAAAACAAAACAAAACAAAACAATCAAACAAACAAACAAACCAAACTTACAACTTACTATATTATGCTCTATGGAAATAATTAATCCATGTTGAACTTCCCTTCAACGCTCTTCGTAGTCAACCTTGTCTTCAATATCAAATCCACCTAACAAGAATCACAGTTTCTCCCACCATGGCTTATATTTCATTTCATTAAAAATATGATGGACGGTGCCAACTGAGGTTTTAGACAGCTTCAAATTCATACAATTCCGGGTTAAGGGTACTTTAGCACCACAAAACCACTTCATTCCTTTAGCATTAAACAATTCTCAAGACACAGATCTAACACCAACTGCAATGGAGTAGTAATTTTACATGGTGCCAATTATGTTACTTGACAACTACACAGCACCTTCATTTCCACGGTCTTTTGATGGCCACCTGTACCTAAATCGAGAAGCCTGTCTCCTGGGCGATTCCACTTCCAGCCTTCAAGCTGCTGATGTTCTGTGTACTGTAGCCGTCTGTCATGGAACACCACCCTGATGATGCTCTGTAAAGCAAGGGGGAGAGTGAGCATCTAACCGCTCAGAGGCACCGGTATTATTACTACTACATATTAACCAGTAATAGATGAGCACACAAACCCAGATTCTGCTTTAAATACTCCTTCTGTTTAGCTGGGCATCATGGCTCTCACACCTATAATGCCAGCACTTGAGAGGTTGAGGCAAGAGGACTGCTTCATGTTTGAGGCTAGCCTAGGTCACATTTCAAAACTAACATAGACTATAGTGACATTTTACTTCCAAAATAAGAGAAGAAAAATTCTACCTGTGAACTTTTCTATTCTTGGATACCTGATAAGCACACATACTTAATAACTAGGAATTAGAACTAAAAATTATGCCCGAATTTAAAATGTGTAATTTTAAAGTAATTCAATATTGCAATTCAAAAATCAATGTACACAACCATGAAATTAGTAAGTAGTTATTAGATTTCTATGAGAAAATACTAGCTGTCTAAAAGAATTATGAAAGATGAAAAAATATTATAAATATACATGGATAACCACAGACACAACAGTAAACTATGCCTGCAATTCCTGCAATCTAGAGGCTATCTCAAAAGTCACAATAATGGTTAGGTTCCTTTAAGGACAGGCTGGTAAGATGGCTCAGAGGGTAAAGTGCTTGCCAGATAACCTAAGAACTTCAGAACTCACATATTGGTGGAGATAATTGACTCAATAAAATTTTCATCTAACTTTCACACACACAGTGTGTCATACACATACAACTAAATTATACAATTCATAAAACTACAAAGACAACCATTCCCCAGTGATACAAGCCTATAATCCTAACTACTTGGGAGGCTGGAGGATTATCAGAAGCATGAGGCTAGCCTAGGCCTAGGAGCACAAGGCCATCCTTCGCAACTTAACAAGTCCCTGTCTCAAATTTTATACATATGAAAAAGTAGTGTCAAGCAAAGAGCTCCCACCTACATAAGCACAGCACATGTAAGACAAGAAGGAGGATCACGGCAAGTCTGAGGCTTGAGTTATATAATGAGTGCCAGGCTACAATAGGCCAACTAAAAAGTCAAACGGTAGTTATGTTGGGAGTGGCTTGAACTGGAAGATTAAAAAAAAAAAAAAACACTGGAAGAAACTACATGTTCTAAGTAAAAGGAGACTTTACCTATAGAACTAGCACTAGATAAAGGGGTCAACTACCAAGCCAAGGCCATGAGGCAGAGACCAGTGCACAGCCACCAAGGCAAGGCCAAGGTAACAGAACCTGGTACACAGGCACAGGCCGTGCAATCCCAACACTTGGGAAGCCAAGCCAGTAGGACCAGGAAACCAAGGTCATAGGTCAGTCTAGGCTACAACACTGACTTCAAAGCCATCTGGGTTATATAAGGGGGTCTTATTCCAGACTAAGCTATAAAGTGAGACCTCAACATTCCTAAATCAAAAGCAAGGAGAGACAGCACAGCTTCCATAACACCTCTGACAACATAGCACATGAGTACCATGTGTCTCCAAATTTAAGCTGTACAGTAAAAGACGCCAGGGCCAATAAACAGAATGTAAAAAGATGTGATTTTCAATAAATTCATCCTATAATCATCTATGTTCGTAATTCTACCTCTCAGGATATAACTGGGTATATTCTAACACATGCAACAGAAAAAAAAATCAGACATATTATCAACTGAACAGTGAGCTGGAAGTAAAACCTCTTAAAATGATACTTTCACTCCAAGTTAATCTGACAGGTATTTTAACTAGCCTGATGAAGTTATTTTCAACATGCCTCACCTACTAGCTATTTCTCAATCAGGCAACTGCCTTAAATAGCCAATTAAACCAGGTGTGGTGGTGCACATCTTTAATCCTGGCATGAGGGATAGGACGGAGGCAGGAGGATCTCTGAGTCTGAGGCCAGCCTGGTCTACAGAGTGAGTTCCAGGGTGGCTAGAGCACACAGAGAAATCTCATCTCAAAAACAAATAAACAAACAAACAAACACACACCACTTTTCACTGAAAAGTTCAATTCTGACATTTGGTGTGTATATCAACATCAATAGTCTTAGATGATAACCAAAACCATGAATGAGTGAACTGTATAACCCAACATGCACACAAGGAATACAAGGGTATGAGGGCAAGAGACCCAGCTCAGCAGCTAGTCCTGACTGCTGAGGAAGGACCTGCTTTTGTGGAAGACACAAGGTGTGTTTCCAACACCCACATGGAAGCTCAAAACCACCTGTAACTCCAGCTACCAGGGATCTTCTGACAGCTGAGAACTCTTGCAACACACACACACACACACACACACACACACACACACACACACACTTTAAAAGATCTTTTAAAAAGAGAGCATATAGGTGAAACTAAGACTGGGAAGTTATTGGTAATTGTTTACACTGACAAGAGAATCTATTATGAGAACTTAAGACAGACACATGCATGTTTCACATGCTACCACGTAAAAGGTATATGTGAATTCACAGTACCTCCTCTCTAACCTCTAGGTATGATTAAAGTTTACAATACAAAAGTTAAAAGGCTAGACCTGACAGCATAAGCCAGCAACTCTGCCCTTAGAAACCCTGAGGCTGGAAGACTGTAAGTTCAAGGCCTGTGTGGTCTACACTGGGAGCCCCAGAAGGATTATTCACTTACAAGATAAAGAGTCCAATGGAGTTGCAATTTAGCTCACTGATAGAGAGTGCTTGCCTAGCATGCATGGGGCCTGAGATTCAATCTTCAATACTAAGAGGAAAACCAAAAACCAAACAAAAGTTTTTAAGATATTCTAACAATTTGGGGGCTTGGAGGTAAAGTATGCATGAAGCTGTGGGTTTAATCCCCAGCATCCCCACACATATCATCCCAAGATTCACAGGTGGAGGCAGAAACACCAGAAATTCAAGGTAATCTTCAGCCCACAGGATGAATCTGAGATCAGCCTGGACCACATGAGACCCTGTCCCAAAACACCCATGCACCACTCTTAGATTCAGTTTTAAAGGTCTCAACACAGGACACATCAAATACTAATCAATTTTATTACAGAATCCATCATAACATTTCAACCTTTTATACTTGTACATTTTTGGTAAAAGCAGCATGCTTCAGTTGTCAAATTTAACTTTCACAGGACAGAAAAACAAACGCAGTCATATGTCCTCTAAAAAAATGGTTACTGGGGGTAGTAGCATACATTATCTGGCCTATGTGAGATCCCTGTCTTATCCCTGGTATGGCAACACACGTCAGGAGAACTGAGCTCTGCAACCCCCTGCTGACAGTGCAAATATACCTTTCCAGTAAGCTTATTACAAAACTTAGTGCCTCTAGTGCGGTGGTATGCATAATATGCCCTGTGCTCTGGCAGACAGAAGCTAGGACTCACCCTACATGCCCCATGTGAGAGTATGTGTAAGTATGTGTGAGTATGTGTAAATATGTGAGCGTATATGAGGAATGCCTGAGTAGCAATCCTCAAGGCGGAGCAGACAAGGGCTATGTCTGTTCTATATAGGATGATGGACATCCTCATTTAGATATGTTAGTAGATAAACTGAAATTCCAAGTTATACTACAGAAAATTCTAAAGAACAAAATAAAAGGATCTTTAGAAAGTTTTAAATTAATATATTTTCAAACTAGAGATTCAGGCTGGTCAGATGGCTCAGCTGGTAAAAGTGCTTGCAGAACAAGCCTGACAAACCAGGTTCAAGCCCAGAATGCAAAGATGGAAATGAAGACAAACTTGCAAGTTATCCTCTGGCCTCCACATATGGCACATGCGTCCCTGTACATGTGTGCTCTCCACGCTCGCTCCTTCCCTCCCCCCTCCTTCCCTCCCCCCCCCCCTTCCTCCCTCCCTCCCTCCCTCCCTCCCTCCCTCCCTCCCTCCCTAATAATAAATAAGTAAAATTTAAAGAGTCTGGGACTAGCTGTGGTGATGGGTTTTGCTCTGTATACCTAAACTAACTTCTCTACTGCTTTCTGGTTCCCAACAACTGCAATTTCCATTTCACAAATAAAAATACAGCTTAAAAAGCCCAAACTTTTAAAATAATCATTTTTCCAAAGAGATATTTGAAATTTTTTATAAAAAGGCTTGTGGCAGTGGCTCAGAGGACAAGGTACAAGTTCCAGAAGACATGTGGTGGAAGCAGATAGCCAGCGCCCTCCAGCCTCCAATAGTGTGCTGTGGCAGTGGCTCGTTCACAAGATAAACATGCATTTTAAAAAGAACCAAAGAAATCTCTCGCATGGAAACAGCCACTTTATTCAAACAGCACAGTATCTAGTACACATTGAGACAGACTGTCCTTACCTTCACCAACTTCCCACTGATCTCAGGCACATCTCCCATTTTGCGATTATCCAGCATCCGAATTTCATAAGACTGGCCTAATTTAAAAAAATTATGTATCAAAAACAATCCATGTAAAGAACACTACTCCACTCTACATAATTCAACTGTCCCTCACAATAGACAACTACATGACATTAATTTGTCAGTGTGCCTTAGAAGCAAATTCAAGTTGATCTTTCTCTTAAGATCACAGCAGTCTGTCCTAAATACCCATGGGGTTGTCTCTCGGTCCACTTTCACCTGCCGTTCTATTCAACTTCTACCTCAGATAAAGTTTCTGCTTTTCTGAAGTATTAATTTATACCATAAAAGTTACTTTTTAAGTTATAATTTATGGGATTTTAAACATGGTCAGAGCTGCAAAATGATTACTCCTTCCAATTTCAGAGCATTCTCATTATCTTAAATGTAAACCCATGCTCCCAGCAGGATCACTTCCTCCGCTCCCCTCCACCCCTAAGCCCCTAGACAATCACTAACCCACCGTCTATCTCTTAGGGACCTGACTACTAGAGACAGTTATGTAAACAAAAACATAATATGTAAGGTTTTGGAGATTTGGTTCTTTCATTTAATGTAACGTTTTTCTATTTTATTGCCAGAAAATATTCTATTGGATACATAGACCAAATTTTGTTCACCCACTTGTCAAGTGATATATATTTTGTGTTGTTTCCAATCTAGGGGTGACAATAGATGATGGTACTACGAACATGGACAAACCATTTTTTGTATAGACCAAGACCAATTTTAATCTGGAAGCCTCTCTCTGTGTTATTGAACACAAGCCCACTGCTTCACTTGTACAGACAACACACACACACACGCACACACACACACACACACTTTCTATACACTGGTCTAATTTGGAAATTAGGAATAAGCTGCTGCAAAAAAATGAACCACGAGGAGCTAGAGATACGGCTCAGTGTTCCAGGTCACTCACTTATTGTTTTTCCAAAGGACACAAGTTGGATCCCTGTCCCTGAGTTGGGTGCTTACAACCTTCCATAATGTGAGTTCAAGGGGCAACAGCACTCACATCCACACTGCCTACCCCAACGAAGAAACACACATATACATTGAATGTACCCAAAATTAGAAAGAAATACTACTTTTGGGTTGTTATTAACAAAAATGACAATGCAATTTGGTATCAACTGATGACTGTTTTCTAGTACCTGCGGAACTTAACTACCCTATCAATCCTGTGGGCCTATAAAAAAAATCCAAAGGAGACTCTAGACCTGCAGTTCTAAACCTACTGGTAGAGACCCCCACAGAGGTCTCATATTAGATATTTATATTACAAATCATAACAGTGGCAAATTGACAGTTATAAAGTAGCAACAAAATATTTTTTTCTTTTTCTTTTTCTTTTTTTTTTTTTTGTTTTTTTGAGACAGGGTTTCTCTGTGTAGCCCTGGCTGTCCTGGAACTCACTCTGTAGACCAGGCTGGCCTCAAACTCAGAAATCTGCCTGTCTCTGCCTCCCAAGTCCTGGGATTAAAGGCCTGCGCCACCACTGCCAGGCAACAAAATAATTTTCTGGTTGGGGATCACACCATGAGGAACTGTACTAAAGGGTTGCAGCGTTAGGAAGGTTGAGAACCAGAGATTACAGTTATCAGCAAAAGGTTATCAAAACATAGTCAAATCACTTGAAAACGGGTAGAAACAAAAACCAGCTGGGCACAATACATTACTCAGAAATATTCTTAAATTTGTCCATTATAGTAAAAGAATAATAAAAGCATTTATGAGAAGAGAAGCTTTAGAACTTTCTAAGACACAGATTGCAATGTAGCAATAAATCTTAATTTTGAAAACTAAACATTTTTTAAAAAGCATGGATGCAGTTTTGAAAAATATACCAGTAAACTCTTAAAATTACACCGAATCTCACAAGAACTTTGGGTTAGTTATCCAATTAATCAAAATATTTAACTAAAAGTCAACACCCTAGTGGATAACGGAAGACTGAGAACTTCAGGCCAGCCTAAGATATATAGTGAAACACTGTCTTGAAAAGTCAAGTGGACAAGGAATGACTTCATACAATGGTAAACTGTAAATATCCCTCTAGAAAGCAACCTGTGTACACCTCTCAATATGTTAAATTCCAGACCTTTGGGTTCTGGAATTCTAACAAAAATACAAGAAAAGGACTATTTTAACTTGTATTTTTGTCAAAGGGCTGTCTGTCCAATACGCAAGAAGTGCTCACAAAGCTGGGTGTGGTGGTGCACACCTTTAATCCCAGCACTATGGAGGCAAAGGCAGGTAGCTCTCTGAGTTCAAGGCCAGCCAGGTCTACAGAATGAGCTCCAGGACAGCCAAGGCTACACAAAGAAACTCCATCTTGGGATGGAGGCAGGGTAAGGGTGGGGGTGTGCTAATTTAAGACCAAGAGGAGAAAGTCAACCTCATGAAATACAGACCACTGTTCACCTCAATTTGAACTGGCAAGGCATATCTCCATTTGCTAACAGCAGAGACACTGTTTTTTTCTGCTTTTAGATGTAAACTTCAAGGAGAACTGAGAACTGCTGCAGAGTACTGATCAAGCACAGCTGCCAGCTCCAGACTGGTGACGACAGCAGGAGCAGACCCACAGCAGACCAAGACTTCAAAGGACTAAGTCAGAGACCACAGGGCACCCATATTGATAAGTTAATTCAAAATCTGGAGCTATAGGAAGAGATTGGGCTGGCCAGGCTAACAGAGGGCTTTTCTAGCTACAGTTGTTAGGTGAAGCCATTTGAACACTGTCACTGAAGGAGTAAACATAAAAACAGAGGGCTTAACCTTCTGGAGTCACCCAAGGAAAGCAGTGAGCAAAAGGCTGAGAAGCAGGGCTCATTTAGTTCATGGACAAAGGGAAACTTGTCCCATTGGGATTACTTCATGATCCTCAGAAACTAGAAATCCACATGACTGAGAGAATAAGAGCAGAGGGAGCCCTGGCATCCCAGCTTTCTTTGCTTGATGTTTCATGGTCCACCTAAGGAATTGTGAAGCTGACAGCTGAATGCTTTCCCACAGAGAGCTCAAGAGTTGCTGCCCTTGGACAAAAAATCTGTTAATTCTCCCAAACCAGCAGTGGGCTTTTAAAGGGCTGGTGAACTGGACAAGGTACTATGTATCTGTGATTCCAGGCTGAGGCAGGAGTTCTAGCCCAGCCTGTTTTAAATTCCGAGGGAGGGAATGTGGTTCATCCCACCAATCCCTCCCAAGTGCTGGGATTAAAGAAATGTGCTGCCCAGCATGGCTGAGTATTAAGCGTTTTTAAGGCTGGAAATATGAGCATGTGGGAGGCAGAGGCAGGAGATCTCTGAATGTGAGGCCAGCCTGGTCTACATGGTGAGTTCCAGGATAGTCAGAACCATACAACTGAGGCCTTACCTCACAGGGGTGGGGGTGGAGTGGTGGTAGGGGACAGCAAGTGTTCTTAACTGCTATGCTACCTAAGTTCCAGCCTCTCATTTCTACAGTACTGACTTTTAATAACAAGAAGCAAAACTAGACAAAAGGAAATCTACTATAGAATAAAACAAAAGTAATTTAAAACTTCTTTTTTCCTAAAGTATACAATATTTTCATAGATTTAAGTCAATAAATGTGCTACTATATCCTAGAGCATAAGGACCTATTTGCAAAGTAGCTAATATTGGTTAATTAGCATTCATAGCAGAATGTTTTCCCAATAGAATTCAACTCCACATGAACAATATTTTGAGAGAAACTAGGAGAAAGGTTTTTTTTGCTTGCAGCCCCAGTGACTACAAGGAACTAGTCCACAGCACAGTAAGGCAGAGCAGGTCTCACACACATCCCCTTCCAAAGACTTAGCCCCTGGCCAAGAGTAATCTACAGTCAGACCCTGAACAAAGGAGAATCAGTTACTCCAGATTGGACTAATTTTTACTCTAGGGTGAAAATCACGGACCTAACTCTGCATACAAATGGCTACTCAGACATAACCAAGCAAATACATAGTTGCAGATTTTAAACTCTATACTCCTATAGTTTGAAAACAACACCCTTCCAACCCAGCTAAGAATTATTCTTCCAACTTCTGCTACCTAAATTACCTACAGTTTTCTTCATGTTACCCAATGGTGCAATCCTAATGAATAGCTCTAAGAGGCAGGGGAACAGTGAGCCTAAGGAAAAGTTACTAGCAAATAGCAAATAACAGCATTAGCTGTGGAATACCTGCCAACTCTGCTCTGAACCCTACCCTTCAATAGGCAGTGCTGGAGGGAGGGCTAAGCAGTAACGCTGAGCCATGGAGCACTTCCTCTACATACATGAGGCCAGTGTTTGATCCCCAGCAGAGAGATAGACAAACAGAAGTCAAGGAAAGTGCACAATATTTTCCCAAACATTCAATGTAATAATAATTAATAATTGGGAACTCTTGAGTGGCATGGTGGCACAGTTTTAATCCCAGCAACTGAGGGAGAGGCAGGCACATCTCTGAGTTCAAGGACAGCTGGGTCACACAGTGAGTTCCAAGGATAGTTAGGGATACACAGTGTGGTGGTTTGAATACAAATGACCCCATAGACTCATGTGTTTGAATGTCTGGCCCACAGGGATTGGCACTATTAGGAGGTGTGGCCTTGTTGAAAGAGGTATGGCTTTGCTGGAAGAAGCATGTCACTATAGAGGTGGGCATTGAGGTATCATATGCTCAAGCTAGGCCTAGTGTGGCAGTTTCCTTCTGCTGCCTACAGATCAAAATACAGCATTCTCAGCTCTCTCTCCAGCATCATGTCTACACTCTGCTATGTCTCCCACCATGATGATAATGAACTAAACTTCTTAAACTGTAAGGCAGCCCCAGTTAAATGTTTCCCTTTATAAGAGTTGTCATGAGAGGGGTGGAGAGATGGCTTAGAGGTTAAGAGCACTGACTGCACTTCCAGAGGTCCTGAGTTCAATTCCCAGCAACCACATGGTGGCTCACAACCATCTATAATGAGATCTGGTGCCCTCTTCTGGGCCGGTAAGCATACATGCAGGCAGAATGCTGTACACGGCGGCGGCACCACCACCACCACCACCACCACCACCACCATCATCATCACCATCATCATCATAAAAAAAGAGTTGTCATGATTATGACGTCTTTTCATGCAAAACAGAAAACCTAACTAACACATAGAGTGAGACATTATTTCAAAAACCGGATGGGGACAGGGATTATCGAGTAGTGGGGAGGCAATGTGGTCCCCAAGACAGCAGCAGCCGCACCTAAACTTAACCTTTAACCTCAGTACTTGGCAGGTGGATGTCCTCTGTGAGCTCCAGGTCAGCCAGAGACCTTGTCTCAAAAGAGAAGATAGGTAAAGAAGAGAGGGGAGAGGAGAAAGAAAAGGGCAAAGTTCTTGGATCTTGCCCCAAGCCTACTAAGACCTGGGCCCTCACTCTCAGCCTCCTGTGACTCTGAAAGCACTGTCCTGTGTGGGAAGCACAAGTACCTGGCTGGGCAGGACTACAAATGCATTCAGAACTTCCCCTTGGAACAAGGTCCTGTTCCAGAAAAGTTCTCAGTGGGTCTGGTGTGGGGTCAGCACTTGCCTTACCCACCTAGAGCCCTGCCACCTCAACAAAAAAATACCTCTTACTAAAGTAGCTAAGAATTAACCATGTCTTTTGTCAGTGCCTAAGCAACTCTCAGGATTCCATCCCTAATACTACAGCCAGCCAACAGAATAAAAAAGGTTAAAATGAATATCCTTGTCCCATGCCTTTACTTCTGAAAATTTTAAGTCCTAAACAAATTACTAAATAAAATCACTTGAAAGTTAAATCTCTGATTAATGAATTCCAAATAATGGCTATATATTAAAAGCATGCCTCAGACAGGACTATTGTCTTAAAATAAAGAAAGCTTCAGGAGTCTAAGCTCCTTATTAAGGGAAATTACAAGTCTTTTTTTTTTTTTTTTTTTTAAAGAGACAGGGTCTCACTCTGTAGCTCTGGAACTCACTGTATAGACCAGAGTGACCTCAGACTCGGAGATCTGCCTGCCTCTGCCTTTCAAGTGCTAGACTTAAAATCATGAGCCAAAGGCCCAGCTCCCTTCCACATTTGGGTAATATTAACCATAAATATAAAGCCTAAATTAAAAAAAAAATAAAGCCTAAAACCTACTGTTCAATGAATAAAGAGTTCACTTAATGACAGGAAAAGAACTACAAATTACATCAAAGGGCTGTTCATGGATAACACTGTTGGCTCAGAGAAAACGTCCTACAGTGTTTGCTAAGCTTGGACAATTTAAGAACCTCATTTTTAATTTTCAATAGCACAATTTTCAATAGCACAATTTTTAATTTTCAATAGCACTGTAGAGTTTTACATGTCAACATATGACAAACCATACTAACCTTGGTTCAAGTAAGTAAGCGTCTCATCGTGCAGTTTCACGGCGGGTGAAGTTGCTGCACACATTACATATTGGAAGGGGGGGTGCTTAGCCTCATCTTCCAAGGAAAGGCTGGAATCTTCTTGCTTGAAAATGGGCAATGCCAATACATCACTGAAAAACAGAATAGTAAAACTGACTGTTCTTTGCGTTTTAGATAGTTGAAAGCATATAAAAATAATTCAGGGGTTACCAGACACCCAGGGCTCAAGACTGAACCTAAAACTTTGCATATGCTAGGAAGTCAATTATTACATTTAAAATTTAATATGAGAAATATTTTATAGAACAAAACAACTATTAATGCTAATCTGGTTTGTCTAAAAGATACTGTAAGTCATCCATTTCACTAATGAGAGCACATGAGAAACATGGTAAAGTAATAGTGTAGCATGAAACTTAATGGAGAACACTTGCCTAACATGCCAGGCTCTATGTAGGTGTAAGCCCCACCACCACCACCACCACCTGGAATTTTTTTTTTCTTTTAAAATCTGTAAACTGGGGCTGGTGAGATGGCTCAGTGGTTAAGAGTACTGACTGCTCTTCCAGAGGTCATGAGTTCAAATCCCAGCAACCACATGGTGGCTCACAACCATCTGCAATGATATCTGATGCCCTCTTGTGGGGTGTCTGAAGACAGCTACAGTGTACTTATATAAATAAATAAATAGTTAAAAAAAAAATAAAATAAAATCTGTAAACTGGCCAAGCATTGTGGTACAGGTATTTCATCTCAGCCCCAGGAGGCAGAGTCAGTGGATCTCTCTGAGTTCAAGGCCAGCCTTGTCTATGTAGCAAGTTCCAGATTTGCAAGAGTTACACACTAAGACCCTCTCAAAATCAATTAATAAAAATAAAATAATAAACTCTGGCTAGGGATATAGCTCAGTCTGTAGAATCTGAGCTGCATGAGACCTAGTTCCAATCAAATAAAATATAAAACAAAACCCTGCAGATTACCTTTCTTTAAAAAAGAAAGAAGTAAATTCAGAGTGCGGAGCTACCTGTTTTAAAAGGTGGCAGCTAAGACTGCTGCCAAAAGACAGCCACACCAGCATGGTGGAGCCACAAAGAAGTACCAAATAAAATGGTGCTCGACAAATGCTCCTCACCAAGGCCAACTACAGCTGAGAATGAAGAGTTTCTTGTCTAGTCCAAAACAATGACTCACAAAGCAAACTTGCAGTATAAACAGCAGCTACTTCTCTCCCAGGAGTGACCTGCATCCAGGGGTCTCCTGGGACTGTCTACACCTGTCACAGCCTGTGGTTGAACACACCTGGGCATAGCTAGCTGTTGGTGTTCAACAGCTTCACTGAATATCAATAGCCATTGTCTAACAGTGCACGATTCCGTTATTTTTGGCATACATTATTTCATGCAATCATTCCTAGTGTTTAATTCCAGAACATTTTTCTCCTTTAATTAATTTCAGGCAGACGCAGGTAGATCTCTGTGAGACTGAGGCAAGCCTGGTATACAAAGCAAGTTTCAGGACAGCCAGAGCTATTATCACACAGAGAAACTCTGTCTCAAAAAACCAAACCAAACCAAGCCAAGCCAAACCAAACCAAACCCCAACCAACCTACCAACCTTTAGCCAACAAACAAACAAAGAGGGCTAAGAATGTAGCTTAGTTGATAGAATGCTTAACTACCACCAATGAAGCCCTGGGTTTGATCCCCTGCACCACTCAAAGCAGACGTAGTGGCTCTGCTTGTAATCCCAGGAGTTCAAGGTCAGCCTTACAACAGAGTCAGTGTGAACTACAAGATACCCTGCCTCAAAGGCGGTGTGTGTGTGTGGGGGGGAGATACCCCATATCCAACTGCAGTGACTCTCACTGTCCTGCCTGCTCCCCTACCCCATCATGGGCCTCTAGTCTGTGACTGATTGCTGACTCTAAACGTCAATGCAAACGTAGTATAAGTTAGACACTGTCTTCTGTGATGGGCCTGTTGCACTTGGCATCCTGTCAGGTCTACCTGTGGTTCAGCATAAATCACAACTTCTCTCCTTAATACAACCTGACCACATTATATAGACACAACACATTTTGCATCTCTTTTGAGGACATGGGGCTTCTTCTCTGTTGAACAGTGCTGGGAACATACTTATGTTTCTGTGTAGATATGACTCAGCTCCCTAAGTATGAACCTCAGCAGAGTCCTGGACCACATGGCCAAACAGCTTTCCAGAGCAGCTATAACACATGCTGCATTAATACAGAATTAAAAAAATATTTATTTTTATGTTATGTGTATGAGTATTTTTGTCTGTATGTATGTGCACCACATGCATGTTTGGTGCCCATGGAAGCCAGAAGAGGGCATTAGATCCCCTGGAACTGGAGTTGTGAGTCACCATGAGGTGTGTGGCACCTCATGTGTGTGGCATGAGGGTGCTGGGAACAGAATCCCTGTGTCCTCTATAAGAGCAGCAAGTGCTCTCTCCAGCTCCCTTGTGGTGTTTGTCTGACACAAGCTTTCATTTAGCTCAGGCCAGCTTCAAAGTCACTATCTAGCCATGGAATTACCACGAACTCTTGATTCTCCTCCTACCTCTATCTAACCTCCCAAGTTCTGGGATTATAGGCATGTACCACCATGACTTATGACACTAAATGTTTCTTAAACTTGACTTGATTAAAAATAAAATATGGGGCATGGTGGCACACACTTTTAATCTAAGCACTCCACAGGCTAGCCAGGCTACATAGTAAGACGTTTCTCAGAAGGGGGTGGGGGGGTGGCTCAATGGTAGAACACTTGCCCAGCATGTGCAAGGCCCTAAGTTCAATCCCTGGTAAAAAACAAACAAACAAACAAACAAACAAACAAATAAAATAGAATAGTGAGCAAAGCAAGGACTGCTAGTGATCCAGCTGAGGTGATCACCAAAAATCTGAGGACGGTCTGGACAATGACGACTTATCCCAAACGAAACAGAAGGGGTCGGAGAGATGCTCAGTGTTTTAGTAGTCCTTGATCTTATGTAGGCCCTGGGTTTGGTTCCCAGCATCCACATAGTAGCTGATAGCTGTTTATAACTCTTTGACTCTTTTACACACACATACACACAGAGAGAGGGAAGAGGGGGGCGAGAGGGAGGAGGAGGGCGGGATGGAGGGAGGGAGAGGGAGAAAGAGAGAGAGAGAGAAGAGAGGAGAGGTAATAAAAATAATTTTTAAAATTAAAAAAGAAAAAGATGAAAAAGTTCTAATAAACACAGCAAAAGTCAGAAACTAGATTCTTCTTCGTCTAAACCCTCCATCAGCTTGCTCTCAACCAAGGACCTAACAAAACCACACACACTCACCCACTGGCTCCAGCCACAGTGACCTCTCAACATGCTCCTCTACAGAATGCCCACATTCAGGTGTTAAGCACAGACTTCCACACTCCCCATTACCCTGATAATACAGAAACATGAGAAGTTTGTGCTCTCCCTAGCACAACCACACCTAAAGCTGTCTCCACTGTCACCTAACACAAAGAAGCCAAAATACTTGCTGAATCAATAAGTCAACATTTCCTATGTTGAACTATATAATGCTCAATAGTCTTAGTAATCCCAGGAACGGAGTCTTTTGAATGTTAGAGACAGACTCTTTTAAAATTATTTTTATTTTATGTGTAGGGGTACTTTGCTTGCATATATGTCTGGTGTCCACAGAGCCCAGAAGAGGGCATCAGATCCCCTGGAACTGGAATTACAGATGGCTGCGAGCCACCAAGTGGGTTCTAGAAATGGAACCCAGGTCCTCTGGAAGAGCAGTCAGTACTTTTAACCCCTGAGCCATCTCTTCAGGCCAACACAAATTCTTAAATTGAACTAAAGTAAGTAAATTTTTTTTTAAACTGAGACATAAGATAATGCATATGTATGGGGTATCACATGATGTTTCAAACAAGTGGGACATTTTGAGTGAAGCACACATGGATGCTACAGCAAACTTGATCCTACAATGCATCTACTGCATAGTCTCCAAACGCATAAAACCAGATAAAACTCTTGATAAGGAAGGGTGAACCATACACAGTTAGCCCTGAAGCTGTGACTTTAAAACCATATCAAAGCTGAACACAGAGGTGCATGCCTGCTACTCTAGCAGGGTCAGGGTCAGGGTCAGGGTCAGGGTCAGGAGTTAGCCTTAACTACTTGCGGAGCTGAAAACCAGCTTGGGCTACAGGAGATTGTGTCTCACAAAACAAACAAATACGCTGAGTGTGGTGGAGTACACCTGTAACCAGCATAGAGGGGTCAGGGATTCAAGGTCAGTCTTGGCTATAAAGTGAGTCTGAGTTCCACCTGAGCTGTATAAAACCTTGTCTCAAGAGAAAAACAAACAAACAAACAAACAAACACACACACACACACACACACCTACAACAAACCCTATAAAGTGACTATGACCAGCAGTGCATGCTGTTTTCCAGGAGGATGGCTGGGCCCTGCATGCACCTGGGTGCTGTGTCCCCTTTCACAGCTTTGAACATGACTATAGATAGCAATGGGTTAGTTTTCAAAAACAAGTTAAAATTTGCTGTCTTCTTAGTGAGAACATAACAAGTAACGGAGACATATTTGGAAGGCGAAATTCTAAAGAATTCAGACAACCAAAGGGCTGGCTAATAACTCATCCAGGAAAGGGCCTGCTCCATAAAGCCTGCTGACCCAGGACCTACATGGTGAAAGGACAGGGCCAACTCCAATAAGTTGTCTTCTGACATTCATATATGTGCTATGGCATGCATATGTATACATGCATTCCCACATATAATAATAAATAAAGTATAATACCTTTTAATTCAAAAGACAAGAATAAAACCAAGATGGAAATAACATGGTCTGAACTAACAGAGTGGGCTATACCCAACTCTGACCCACACAAAACAAGAAAGCAGGCATCTAAGGCAGCTCATCGATTCAAAGCCTAGACTACAGAGAGTTCCAGGTCAGCAAAGCAGGGAGGGATCTAGAATATCACATACGTTCTTTTTTTTTTTTTTTTTTTTTTTTTAAAAGATTTATTTATTTATTTTAAGTATATGAGTACACTGTAGCTGTCTTCAGACACACCAGAAGAGGGCATCCAATCTCATTATGG